CAGGAAGCAGAGAGCTGTTTGCTTCATCATAGTTATGTGTTTCCTGTAAACACTCAGTCAGGCTTTCACCAGACGTTGGTGTCTCGTAATTTGGTCAGGCAGTAGGTATGACAACAAAAAGGGGCCTTCTGGGGGTCCTTTACATATGCTCTGCAGTAGTTCTTCTATCTTAGCTGGTTTATTGATGTCTGAGCAGTGTATGAGTGAATGACGACTGTGCCAGTCTCACAGGGAATACAGTACTGGGGTGGTTTTCTTGCTGGGTTTGGCTCTTGGAATCCCAGAGCTTAGTTACTTAGGTTAGCTGCTGTCCGGGCTAATGGCTGTTAGCGGTTCACTACTTATCAATCTTTCCATTAAGAAACGCAGTAAATGAGCTCAGCCGACTAAATCACTGACTAAAGTTATAAAGTTGTGTTTTTGTACCTGTACCTGCACTGTAAAATACCTAAAAAATTATAATTTTGTGTGTCGTGTCATTGTTGGGACAGGTACTGGAGTATAGGTAACGTATAGCACAACAAGTATGTGATCAAAACACTTAAACATCCATTTTGACTTCATGGGGACTTTCAGTAACAGTCAATGCAGGATCAATACAGTGTGTTATTAGTACTGTCACTAAGGGTCCACAGAAACATGAGAAAGTGCAGGAGACTGGTGGATTTTGGGGGTTTCTTACTGAATGTTCCATTTAAATCTGGAAAATTATCAAATATACAGCGGACATAAGTTGAGAAAAGTTGAATAAAGCTGAATGAAACAAAGACATCCAGTTAATTGGTCATTTAAAGATCGAGGCCTTCAGGGATGCAAGGACCTTTAGGGAGCCAAGAAGACCAGAAACAGACCTGACTGGAGTACCGAGGACCGTTCAGTCAACTTATAAAAAGCGTCTGCCAGTCGACTTCTGGTCCGACTGGAGGAGGTTCACGTCAACTGAGGTAAACACACTCATACATTCTAATGTTGTTCTCTGCTGTTCACAAATCTCTGATTTGTTTTGTAAAGGAAGAAAATACAGTCAAATCTAAATGTTAGACTACTGAAAAATTAGCCAAAATGAAATGGATTGAAAGCAGAAAAACTAAAATCTGTCAAGTTTTACAGCAACAAAGTCGTATTTAAAAGAACTGCTTTGAGACTCTCAGTTGCTTTATATACAACATTTACGTTATTTTACTTTCCATAAGTCCTGGAAAACCAGAACATTTAGAAACTAGATTTCCAGTCTTGAAAACACCTGGAAATTGATTAAAATGAGAGAATATCCTGGAAATAGTCTGTTTTTCTGGAAAGTTTTATTTGTATTAAAGCTTCTCACTCAGGATGAGCTGTATAATGCTTCAAAGAGGGTTTACCGGATGTGCAAAATGTTCATGTTTAAATACATACAGCTTATTCATTTTCTGTAAAATAAAATAAATTACTGCCTGATTTGAACTACATACGGGCTGCGGCCAAATTGATTTTACGGTTTACAGTTAAAGGAAAACTGTAGTAAAGTGCCAATCTGCCCAAAACCGCATCTTTTATATAAGTGGTTATAAGCAAGTGCTGTCCTTTATTATCATAAAAAAAAAAAAGTGAAAATGGAAAGGCCCTCCAAAATGATTTGTTAAGAATGGGAACCCTGCTCTTAAGTACAGTATGAAAATGTTCATTTGAAAAGGCAAACCTGTAAAAACAAATGGGTCAAACTGAACACAAATTTTCCTTGTCATGTCAGTGAAACCGTGCTGGTTTCTAAGCTGTTTAGGAAAGGTATGAAATCCTCCGACTGAACATGGAGGTGACTATTGAGCTGCAGTGCGTTTTCATGATTTTATTTGGTTTTTCATTAAAACACGACAAAAGGTAGTTGCAAAAGGGCAACAAGAATACTACAGAAAATACACAAGAGTCTGGTCTTATAGGCAACAGAGCTGATATAACTTTATTCTTTGAAATGTATAAGACATTCACATTTTTTGTGTTTTTTAAAGATACATTGGAAGTGACTCAGCAGCAGGTAAACCTATGTTAAACAAGTGATGAATGTCTGAAGAAAGTTATTTTGCTTGCTAAGTGAGTTATGATTTTTAAATACGATTTTATTACAGTGATAATAGACAACCCTAAAATTTGCTCCAAGGAGGGGGGGGGGTACATTTCACTGCAACACGTTTTGTCATGTTTTCAAATCTTTCTTAATGTTAAAGAAAAGCGTTTAGCGTTTTTAAGGTCGCAACGGTATCTGTATACCCATAACACTTTGTTTAATAGCCTTCAATAACTAGGCTTAACTTGTAGCCTGTATTATTAATTTTATTTCATAAGTTTTCTAAAGTCTAATAATTTGACACTAATTTTCTTTCAGAGACAGTTAATAAAGATTTGAGTCCAACTGACAATAATATGTAATTACAGAGGACAGGGCGGATACAAGACAGGTTAGTACTCTAGATACAGGGCAGAGGTCAGTGCTGTAGTGACAGGACAGAGGTCAGTGCTGTAGATACAGGATAGAGGTAAGTGCTATAGATACAGGGCATAGGTCAGAGCTGCTTTTCAGCTCATCCACTGAATTGTGACGAAAGTCAAAATATGAAAAATCATAGTGTTTGAGCATCCAAAAAATATGTAAACTTTGACAAAAAAAGGTTTTTCATGGCACAACGGTATCTGTATATATCTTTAAACCCATAACATCTTTGGGTATACTGTCAATAGCCTTCAGTAAATAGGCTTTTATTTGTTTAAATCACTGAACTCAACCTGCTTTTATTAGTCAACACGTGGAGCCACACCAGACTAGTAAAGGAGAGCAGCGTCTAATTGCTTCTACGTATATGAACTGCATTGCGAAAGTGGGGAAATAAAGTGATTTATTTTGTCGTATTCTGATTAATTCAGGCTAATAGGATTCTGTTTGACTTGTCAAAACTGAGTTACCATACATGCAGACTATTTAGAGTATATTATATGTATATAAGTTAATTTATCATTTTTCAGCTGACAAATTATCACTGTTATTAACAACATCACTCTGATAGATCATTGATTGATTCAAAGGAGTAACAATCCAGGAAATAATCCTGAACTGTCCTGAAAAATGTTGATTGTATTTTAGCCCTTCACTCAGACATACACATCTTATAGGTACATATTTTGTGGTATCTGGTTTTAACCTGCGTCGTGGGTATTTCTTGCATTAAACTATTACCCTATTGTTTCAGAATTCAATTCAATTCAATTCAATTTTATTTGTATAGCGCCAATTCATAACAGAAGTTATCTCAGGACACTTTTCAAATAGAGCAGGTCTAGACTGAACTCTTTAACATTAATTACAGAGACCCAACAGTACCACCATGAGCAAGCACTTGGCGACAAGGGCAAGGAAAAACTGCCTGTTAAAAGGCAGAAACCTAGGACAGATCCTCCGGCTCTAGGTGGGTGGTCGTCTGTCTCGACCAGTTGGGGTGAGAGAGAGAGAGAGAGAGAGAGAGAGAGAGAGAGAGAGAGAGACGACAGACAGACAGACAGGTGCACAGCAACAACAGTATTGGCAATGGCAGTCAAGCAGGACCATGGCAGGAGGCTCCACCAGGATCCATGAGAACCTGCGAGACGAGAAAGCACAAGAACTCCGGGGAAGAAGTGGAGTTAGTAACATGCATTAAAGGGACATGAATGAGTGCAGAAAGAGAGAGGAAGAGAGTAGCTCAGTGCACCATGGGAAATCCCCCGATAGTCTAGGCCTATAGCAGCATAACTAAGGGATGGTTCAGGACTCACCTGATCCAGCCCTAACTATAAGCTTTATCAAAGAGGAATGTCTTAAGCCCACTCTTGAATGTGGTGAGGGTGTCTGCCTCCCGAACCACAACTGGAAGCTGGTTCCACAGGAGAGGAGCTTGGTAACTGAAGGCTCTGGCTCCTGTTCTACTTTTAGAGACTATAGGAACCACAAGTAGCCCAGCATTCAGAGAACGCAGTGTTCTAGTGGGGTAATAGGGTACTATGAGCTCTTTAAGATATGAAGGGGCCTGACCATGAAGAGCTTTATAGGTGAGGAGGAGGATTTTAAATTCTATTCTACATTTTATAGGGAGCCAATGCAGAGTAGCTAGTACAGGAGAGATGTGATCTCTTTTTCTAGTTCCTGTCAGTACTCGTGCTGCAGCGTTCTGAATTAATTGGAGCGTTTTAATGGACTTATTGGGGCAACCTGATAATAAAGAGTTGCAGTAATCCAGCCTTGAAGTAACAAATGCATGGATTAGTTTTTCTGCATCTGTCTGTGATAGTATGTGTCTAATTTTTCTAATATTACGTAAATGAAAGAAGGCAGTCCTAGAGGTCTGCTTTATGTGGGAGTTAAATGACAAATCCTGATCAAAGATAACTCCAAGATTCCTGACAGTGGTGCTAGAGGCCAAGTTAATGCCATCTAGAGTGACTATATCTTTAGACAATGAGTCTCTAAGGTTTTTGGGGCCAAGAACAAGAATATAAGTATGACTTAAACCAGGTTAGGGCAGTTCCTTTAATGCCAATTTGATGCTCAAGTCTCTGTAAAAGAATATCATGGTCAATGGTGTTAAATGCAGCACTAAGATCTAATAATACAAGTACAGAGACAAGTCCATTGTCAGAAGCAGTCAGAAGGTCATTATTAACTTTAACCAGAGCTGTCTCTGTGCTATGATGAACTCTAAATCCTGACTGAAAATCCTCAAATAAACTATTGTTATGTAGAAAGTCACACAACTCTTTGGCGACTACTTTCTCCAGAATCTTAGAGAGGAAGGGGAGGTTAGAAATCGGTCTATAGTTGGCTAAAACCCCTGGGTCAAGAGTGGACTTTTTAAGAAGGGGTTTAATTACAGCTACTTTAAAGGACTGTGGTACATATCCTGATAATCACTTGCAATGTTTACCAACCCGTTAATATTATTATCTCCAGATGTATTTTCTTATATAACTGATATTTTTTTTTCTCCAATCCTCAATAGGCTTAAATTACCCCTCTGCACTATGGAAAACCAGACTTTAAGAACAGATATTCTGCTTGTGGAGGGGTTAAAGGTCAGCCTGGAGTCCTCCATTCCCGCCTTCATCATCCTCCTCCTCATCTATATCTTCATCATGGTGTCCAATATCTGCCTTGTAGTCCTGATCACCACGGAGAGGAGCCTTCACCAGCCAATGTATCTGCTCTTCTGCAACATGAGCGTTAACGATGCATTGGGGGCCACGGTCATCATTCCTCGCTTGCTGAGTAACATTTTTGTTCCGAGCAGCGACCGCTACATTCCTTACATTGACTGTGTCATTCAGGCGTTTTGTGGTCATGTTTATGCCAGTGCCACCCACACTATACTAATGATCATGGCTTTTGATCGATACGTTGCGATCTGCAACCCTCTGCGATACGCCACCATCATGACCAACAGGATGGTGGTGAAGCTGTCGGTGTCGGCGTGGATGGTGGCTTTGTTGATGGTGTTGATCCTCATTGGCCTCAGTGTCCGCCTGTCGCGCTGCAGGTGGATTATATTCAACCCGTACTGTGACAACGCCTCCTTGTTCAAGCTGTCCTGTGAAAGCGTCCTCATCAATAACATCTATGGCCTCGGATACACCGTGGTCCTGCTGGGCTCCTCCATCGGCAGCGTAACGCTCACGTACCTGAAGATCGCCGCAGTGTGCGTTCTCAATAAGAACAAGGTCCTGAACAGCAAAGCCCTGCAGACCTGTGCCACCCACCTGGCTGTGTACATCATCATGTTTGTGTCTGGCTTAATCAACATCATCCTCCATCGATTCCCAAACTTATCCGATTACAGGAAACTGGCATCCATCTTGTTCCACGTGGTCCCTCCTGCTATGAACGCTATTATCTATGGACTACAAATCAAAGTTGTCAGACAAAAATGTTTCATTATGTTTACCAGGAAAACAACGACTGTAGCAGAGGTGAAATGACTCAATACTGAATTAAATGTGAATTATTGTTAATAAAATAGTTGGCACTTGACATGTGATTAAAAAGTGATGTGAATTTCCTTTTTTATTTATTTTCAAAATAAATTTCATTTCTCAACACTCAGGGTGACTTAAATGTTTTTCAGCTGATGTTAATTGATAATACAGGCATTCTGTGTTCACAGAGATGGCTGATTTGGATGAACCAGAAATAAAAAAAACCCAAGATTTATGGTCTAATTATACATACATACATATATAATGGTATAACAGTCACAGGGGGAAATTTTCTGCAGTGATATCCCAATGAAACAGAGTGCTGTTTGCTTCCTCATATTTAGGTTTTTCCTGTAAAAACACAGAGCAAGGGAGAGACAGATAGTGATTGGTGTTTACAGCAGCCAATAGGTCTGAGTGTGCATTACATCCCCACTGCTATGCAGCTAGCACTATCTACCTTCCAGTGAACACAGCTGGACCCAGGACTACATGGAGACTTTAAGTAATATTCAATGCAAACCCGATGCAGGGGTCTGGTAGATTTGAGGGTTTGTTATTGTATGTTCCATCCAAACATGGAAAATGATCAACTCATGGTGACAGCGCACATAAATTAAGAGAAGTGAGAAGTTGAATGAAACAAACACATCAAGTTAATTGTCCCCTTAGAGCTCCAGGCCTTCAGGGATGCAAGGACCTTTAGGGAGCCAAGAAGGCCACAAACAGCCCTGACTGGAGTACTGAGGACCATTCAGTCAACCTTTAAAAAGCCGACCTCTGGTTCGGCTGGAGATATTTCATGTCAACTGAGGTAAATACACTCATACAGTCTAATGTTGTTAACTGCTGTCAACTGTACTTTTAGATATTGAGTCGCTTTGTATACAAGATTCACATTCTCTTATTTCCCACAAGTCCTGGAAAACTTGGATATTTAGAGACAATTTTTCAGTCTTAACATTGATCAAAATTAGCAGATATCCTGTAAATAATCTACATGGTCCTGGAAAGTTTGAATTATATTTTAGTCTCTCACTCAGATTACGTAAACCTGGGTGTGTTTTGTGCTTGAAACTCGACTGCTGGTAGGATGACGCTTCAAAGCAGGTTTACCAGATGCCTTCCTTCTATTTTTTCCAGACCTGAAGCAAACTTATATCTGAATGCATACAGCTTATAAATGATCAAATTTACATTTGTTGTTGTGGTTGACAATACATGCACAGCTTTGTTAATTGTACATGCAAGAAATAACTTTCTAAAGAAGAATCATCTGTAAAATAAAACAACTTACTACCTGATTGGAACTACATACGGGCTGTGGCCAAATTTATGTTGGAGGTAAACTCTAGTAGCCCCAACCTCTTTTTTAGGCCTCGACAATGAATAGAGTATATCTCTGCAACTACAAGGTCTATTTGAATAATTTTTGTGTCATAATAAAGGGAACACTTATGCCATTTGTTCAGATGTGTAAGTATCAGTATGTATGTCACTGGCTCACAATAATTTAAGACGGCACACAGCTTACATTTTTCATTCATAAATAAGTAATAACTTTTACAATGAATATCTCTTTGAAATGTTTTGAAAAGTTGCAGCTCTAAATCTAAATCAAAGCATAGCAACATAAATGGACATTATCTCTGCCAAGTTTGAGTCTTATAAAGTGAGGCAAAGCAAAATTACAGAGGTTTTAGTACAGTCTATTTAGGTACTCTCCAATATGGCAATTTTGGCACATCTATGCCTTTTGAAATATTTTGTGTACCAAACTATATATTTCACTTTTATGTCACTATTGGGGTTCATTACATCTATTTACAGCAGTTTCTGACTAATTTTTAATAGAAAACCATACAAAGCACTAACACTAATGAGCAAGTGCTGGCCTGTATTATCAAGAAAAAACTCCTAGAACTAGAAAATGGAAACATCCTGGATAGTGATTTGTTAAAGAGTGTGAACCCTGTCCTTTAATACAGTATCAATATGCAGTTTGTTTTAAAAGGTTTTCTTGTCCTAGTAATACTGAGCACATGTTTCTAAGCTGTTCTAAATGCGTGAAATGGGCGACATTTGAGCTGCACTGTGTTTTATGATTTTATTTTGGCTTCAATTGAAACATGAGAGTGTCTGAGTGAGGAGAAACTTTAGTGAGTAAGATCTGATCACAAGTGGTCTCGCATGTCGAGAGGCTGTTAATAGCAGCTGTAAACAGACTCTGAGACACTTCATCATAAACCCTGCATCATTCAAAAAAAGAGGCATAAAACTGGAGTTAAAGTCAATGCTAGGCCTACTGGTAAAATTATATGTTTGTGAGTGAGTGCTGTCCTGATTGTCAAGAATTTTTTTTCTTAAAAAGGGTGGTAATCAAGTTTGTTAATGACGACAGTGTTGACTAAACTCTCTGATCCTCTCGCTGCAGTATGGAGAATGAAACATACAATATGGATGTTCTGCAGCTGGAGGGGTTAAAGGTCAACCTCAAGCCCTCCATTCCTGCCTTCATCCTCCTCCTCCTCATCTACATCTTCATCATGGTGTGCAACATCGGCCTGGTGGTCCTAATCTTCATGGAGAGGAGCCTCCACGAGCCCATGTACCTGCTCTTCTGTAACATGAGTATTAACGATGCATTCGGGGCCACGACCGTCATTCCTCCCTTGCTGTGTGATGTTTTTGTTCCGGTGACGCAGCGGTTCATCCATTATTACGAGTGCGTCATTCAGGCCTTCTGTGCTCACTTTCACGGGGGCACCTCACACACTGTGCTCATTATCATGGCGTTCGATCGCTACGTGGCAATCTGCAACCCTCTGCGATACACCACCATCATGACCAACAGGATGGTGGTGAAGCTGTCGGTATTGGCGTGGATGGTGGCCTTCCTCTTGATTGCGGTCAGCGTAGGACTCAGCGTCCGCTTGTCGCGCTGCAGGCGGGTTGTGCTCAACCCGTTCTGCGACAACGCCTCCTTGTTCAAGCTCTCCTGTGAAAACATCATCATCAATCACATATACGGCCTCATCAGCGCCATGGGCACGATGGCGGTGTCCCTGTGCAGCATAGCGCTAACTTACCTGAGGATCGCCATGGTGTGTTTGAGCAGTAAGAACAAGGCTCTGTATAGCAAAGCGCTGCAGACCTGCGCCACCCACCTGGCTGTGTATATTATCCTGCTCCTGTCAGGCGGCGTCATCATCATCCTCCATCGTTTCCCCAACCTATCAGACGAAAGGAAGCTGGCATCCATCTTGTTCCATGTGGTTCCTCCTTCCATGAACGCTGTTATCTACGGACTGCAAATCAAAGCAGTCAGAGAAAAAATTCTGATTATATTCAGAGGAATGAACAACAGGAGTAAAATGACTGTGTCAGAGGTGAAGTGATGATACCAAATCAAATGTACCCGCTGTCCCCACAACGTAAAGCCAATATCTGCCTCCTGTTGCTCTAATAATTTGTATTTTCTCATGAGTAACACAAGGCAAATATTTGCCCTTTAATCTGGTTGATGATGGCAGTGTGAGCTAAAAATAAAACAGATTTTGCTGCGATTTAATGACAATAAATGAATCAAAATGATGCTGAAATAACTACATTATGATGCTGATGTGTAAAAAGTCTGAATTCATAATGTCAGTCTGTCTGTAAGACGACGAGCAAACAACTTCTCTGACAGACACATATTTTCAGAGCTTCCTCTCTTAAATTTTCTTTCAATTGATGATTTTGTAACTATATTGTTTTATATATATATATATATATATATATATATATATATATATATATATATTAAGGTGGGTTTTTAAAGTCTTCTATGAATATTGATTATTATTATTATCATTATGACTACTGATGAAAGTTCTGATAAAAGAAAAGTGATTCTGTCGGTTTGAGACTGATGGCTGTTTCTGTTCATGCTAATACGTTTGAGTTTAACAAACTAGATCTTTTGAGTCATTGTAATATTTTTTATAGGTTATTTCTGATAGACCATAAGTGCCATAAGTATTATATATGTATATGGATGTGTTTTCACCAAGATTCGAAGAGGAAAGGTCTAATTTAACTGATTGATTTCTATAAAGGGTTATGTATGTGTATAATGAATAAATAAATAAATAAATACATTAACTAATTCAGAGTTTGACTAAAAAATGTTTTACCTCGTAGAAGTTTAACAACTGAATTAAACTTAAAAACATTATAAAGTTGTGTGGCCGGAAAGAGATTGAAGCCATCAGGGCTTCCATTGGAGGTCACGGCTTTATGAATCAAGACCCGTCAAGTCATCTTATACAGTGCCAGTCTAACTCTGGTCCTGCTGGAGGAGGTTAACAGAGGTAAACCTGACACTGGTAAAAGTTAGCATTTATAGTTCACTAAATATTGTATGAACTGTATCTGGGATGTTAAAAAAAATAACTCTAACAACAATTAAATGCACTGTAAAACCTGATGAGTTAGTGACTCAAACTGTTTGAGGATAATTAAACAGTATTTATTGTTAAGGTAACTTAAATTAAGTTAATTCCATTTAGTTAATTGAAGTTAGACTCAAGCAGCATTTCTCAAAATTATTTAAAATGTGTCATCTTTATACAAATGTTACCACTTAAGTTGAATTGACTCAGTTTTCTTCCACTAAAGCAAATTATTACATTACCAATTATAAGTCCTAACTATAAGTGCCCTTAGTGTTTTTTTTGTTATTTTGTTTCGTATATTTGTTTCGTTGTTTTGTACCACTTTGAGATTATTTTATGAAAAGTGCTTTACAAACAAAATGTATTATTATTATTATTATTATTATTATTATTATTATTATTATTATTAAGTCAAAACAGCTGAAATACAATAAAATAAAGATAATTAATTACAAAGAAAGAAAAAAACATGAAATATTTACACTTATTTTAATCATTAAGAATTATTTGGATGCATAGGTTTATCATGATTAACAAACTGAAATATAAACTAAAATTGTTATAAAAGTTATACAGCATTATAATGCTTTTATTTTTATCTACTTCAAGAAAATAAGTGAATACAAAAAATACTATCTGTCTTTTTTGCAGCCCATGGATCTGCCCCTTTGCTGGCTTTTAGAAAGAATGAAGGTTTAAGACACTTAACGTTGGCTTCACTTCATAGACAAGGAACTCAATCGTTGCAATCTAAAACCACCCCTGGGAAATGACTTCCCAAGACAAGATCAACACAAGATCGTCAACGTGTTTCAAAAGAATAAAATCACATATGTGCAAAGTTTCAACAAATCCCTAAAACTGCAAGACGTCCATACCCAACGGCCCGGTGGAGAAAACTCAGAATTTCAAATGTCTTCACTAACTTTTCAGGCTTTGAGTCAAATTCTTTAAAGTTTTGAAATAAACTAAAAGGAGATTTATGAATTAACCACAATCTTTGCACAACATCCACTGTAAAAAAAAAATCTCTAACAGTGAAACATCTCATGACACAATCTTTATTTATACGTCATTTTAAAGAGAATAAAGTTGTTTTTTTCATATTACAGAATGTAAATTGCATTAAAAAAAAACCACCGTCATAGCATCATATGGTATTTTTAATTTGGTAAAACTGTTTCCTTTGATGGTAGAACTGTGTTTTTTTATACAGTAAAATATGGACTAGAACTCAAAAGTACTAATTGTTACAGTAAAGTTCTGGAAATCCCAGCTTCTGAAAAATAACATTACAGAATTGTCTCTAAATGACAAACAAATGTATTATAAACCTATTATAGAAGATTGTGAAGCTCCTATTCAAATAAAACCACAAATGTCTTGTTAGATTTCACTCAAACATGAACAAAAAAAAACATTAGGGCAGTTTTAATTGTACTTCACCTGTCAAAATAAGAGAAAACTCAACTGTCTCAGGCAACTGTGTTAACAAAATTAAAGTTTTGGAAATAAACTAAGAAGAGTTTTGCCAACCTGTAATCTTACGTTGAGATAATTTACTTTTCTTTGTTTGAAACACTTAAATCGTTGAGTTTTAGAAAAAAAAAATTCAGCATTTCAAACATTGTTCAGTGGGCTGTGAACCCACAGCAATTATTCGGGTGCTTAGAATTAAATATATGAAATTATGAAGTTGAGTTTTGATACATTTTTACGTTTTTTATAAGTTTTTCTAAAGAAGAAAAGAAATATTACCATTAATTATGTGTTTATTTAATAACTAGAAAATGAGTTTGACTTAAAATAGAGACAGTTTCCATGAAGGTTTTCTCAACTTTGTTTCTCTGTTTTAGTTTAAAACAAAGGTCTCATTAATCGGGTACCTCTGTGCACATTCCTCCTTAAATTGAGCAATTTTAAGGGAAATTGAAGGTATAATTGTCTGAAGTTTGTGAGTTAAATGAACATATTTTTAAATTTATTTATTATTTGACTTTTAGAACATCTTACTTTGTCATATTTCACAAGACACAATGACACATTTGTATGTATTGACATGTCAGGATCACAGACAGTATAATAAATAATGGACTTTGCCTGAAAAATGAAGACAATGCAGAAGTGTCTTAAACCTGCATTTTTTCTAATGGTCAGCAGGGGGCGACTCCATTGGTTTCAAAAAGAAGTCTGTTAGTACTTATGGAGAAGTTGATGTATGAGCTCAGTAAACAGTTTCCTGATGAGTTTCTGGTCTCAGTCTCTAGTTTCAGTCTTCTTCCATACAGCATGATGTTCATTTAGTAACTGATGGTCCCATTTAGAGTAAATCAGACCATAAAGCAGGGTATGCTTTAGGGCGGGGCTACCTTGTGATTGACAGCTCATTCTCTGTGAGTCCGTCCAGCTCAATGCACCAAACTCAGATCAAAGTGTCAAACTAGGCAGTTTATTTAACTGTTTGTCTGGAATACCAGATCCTCTGTGACCAGGCGAGCCGCCATTGTTTCCAAACCAAGAGCAGCAAATTAGAGCAGCTCAACTCGCAGTAAGTGACCTCCACTGGCTGCAGACAACATGGCGACGGTATTGCACAATTCAGTGGGTGACATGTGAGTAGGTTCACACTCGGTCATGATAAAATTTCTCATAACTGGCTTCTCAGCTGATTAAGTTTATTTGATTTTAGGAAAATTGTTATTGTATTCAATGCAGTAATCTAGTATTAGTATTAGTCGTAAGTATTAAACATCCTGCTGCACACTTTAATAAAAGCTGTTTTAATATAGTTTACATCATTATTCTTTCAAAATAAAGGACAAGGTAGAGTATTTACCATATGTGGTCACACGAGAGAGTTCAATACTGTATACAACGCCTCCCTCAGAGAGTCAGACACCCTCTCTCTGTAATCTGACTCAAACATGGACGATCATTGAGGGGTTGTGAGATGATTAATGAACTTTTTGCTGATCTTTTTGTTTTATTTATCTTATTTGTTTTATGAAATACTGAAAGAGTTTAGCTGTGTGTTCACTGGAAGGTAGACACTGACACTATAGCTCATAACACCAGCTGCACAGCAGTGGAGGTGTAACCCAGCGCCCCCAATACTTTCCCCATAAGGTTACATGTGAAACAAGCGGCTGTCAAACAGTGGATACGTTTCGTTTTTCTCTCAGAATTTGATCCATTAAGTCCTGTAACATTTTAAAAGTCTAGAAGATTTGCAAGATTAAATTATTTATCCCCATTAAAGTAAACAGAGGGCTGAGATGGAAGCTAGCCGCCTCATGTATTCATCCAGGTAAAGTGGCTATTTTGGCTTCATGTGCCAGTGAGCAGCTTTAGGAATAAACTGCTGTATGCAGTTCTCTTTATACATCCAACAAACACCAATCAATATCCATTAGTCCCTCCATAGCTGCCTGTTTTTACAGGAAACACGTAGATATGAGGAAGTAAACAGCACTCTGCTTCCTGTTTCATGGGGACTTTAACTAGTTTAATGTGACCCTTCAATGCAAATTCAACAACAGCTGAACAAACAAATAAGATTTGTGCAGAGCAGTTTCTTTCTGGATGTCTCAGGACACAGTGATGACATCCTTTATGGTTCCCACAGCAGCAGGACTGAACCTGCTCAGAGTCTTTCTGATAGACTGTCGCAGCTCCTTGTTCCTCAGACTGTAGATGATCGGGTTTATGAAAGGAGTCAGAGCGGAGAACAGCACCGACACAACGATACGTTCCTGAAACAATGAAACAAATATAATGCTTTATTTAGCATGCAAGGTTGCTGCTGTAACTGTATGTTTTCTTTAGTTTGATCAATTAACTTTTTAACTCTTAAACGATTAAAAACAAATTTTTTATTTCACCTGAACTTTAAGTTAAGTCTCGTACCTCCGGCGAAAAGTTTCCCACCCGGTAGGAGATGTATACAAACGAGGCCGAGCCGTAAGAGATGGACACCACAGTCAGGTGGGCGGCACACGTCCCGAAGGCCTTCAGCCTCTGAGCGACGCCCATCCTCGACATGGACACGCCAATGAGGATGTAGGAGGCTAGGATGAGGACTCCTGTGGTCAGTAGCGCTAATATGGCGAAGGAAACCGACACAATGTTATCCACAGATGTGTCAGCACACACCAGCCGCCTTACAGACGACAGGTCGCACCAGCCGTTCCTCACCACGTTCGGGCCACAGTAAGGTTTCTTCCAGGTCATGGCGGTGGCTGGCAGTGTGCAGAAGAGGGCGAAGCCCCATGCTCCTGCGATGAGGAGCAGCTGGACGGGCCGGGTCATGACGGCAGTGTAGCGCAGAGGGTTGCAGATGGCCACGTAGCGGTCATACGCCATGACAGTCAGTATTGCGTAGGCGGTAACGCCGAGCTGAATGAAGAAATGCATCTGGAGGAAGCAGCCCGAGACGGAAATGGTGTTCACGTCCCTCACGAAGCCTGACAGCATTTTGGGGATGGTGCTGGTGGTGTAGACAATGTCCACAAAGGAGAGGTGGTAGAGGAAGAAATACATGGGAGAGTTGAGCTTCGGATCGGTGGACGCCTGCATGAGAAAAAACAGTGGAAGTCATTGGTACCAAAGACTGACCCTCCCTTAATTCTGCACCTTTTTACTCTGTGGTCCAATAACAGTTGAGCATATCTGAAAATAGTGAGGCGTTTTTATTTACACATGCTGAGGGGGGACTAGGAGTCTGCCATGTTGAACCGGCATGTTTCTACTGGTGCCCAGAAAGGACAAAGCAAACATTGCATCTGAATAGAGCCTTTCGTGTTTTTGGAGTGTATCGCGGCCACTGCAGCTTCTACTTTCGCACTTGGAAGAGTGAAGCGAGGGAGTTGCAATCTGCAACAGCGTCAGATGCCACTAAATCCTACAAACTGGACCTCGAAGTTAGCTAATGTTAGCAAAACACTAGCCTACAAGCTAACTCAGGATTTATGTAAATTATTTAGCTTGTTAGCAAGTATTTTGTTAAGACTAGCTGTCAGACAAAAGTAGCTAGTTAGCTGCTTTTTTTGTCTGATTGATGTAGATTAGCTAGTGTTTGGCAAACTTAGCTAATTTAAGATGTGACTGTACAGTATGTTTTATTTTTTAACCAATCTTCCAAATGTGGTTGTCTTTTCAACATAGATTAGCCTAGCATAAAGCATTTCTAAGAACAAGAGAGGAGGAAGTTCACTAGATGAGTTTGTTTTGTACCACGAAGATGATCATGCTGTTTCCTCCCAGGATGATGATGTAACCCAACAGCAGGATCACAAAAAGGATCATGTTTGTCTTGCCAAGGTTAGTGAGGCCCTGGATGACGAAGAAAGTGACTCCCTCAGGTCCCCAGGTGCCATTAACAGAGCTCGACCTGTGATTGGTTGACAAGGGCAGGTCTGAATCTGGAAAGGAGGAAGGCGAGAGGAGCCGTCAGTGTTGATGTTGTTTTACGTAGCCGTGCTCATATTTTTTGTATATAAAGTGAACGAAATATAGAAACACTACGTCAGTGAACACAAACATAAAGAGTGGAGCTTAAAGTTCACATATGGGCTCAGACCAACACCGGACTGTAATGTAAATTAACTTATGTAACACACTGAAGTTCTTTTAGTAAACCTAAAGTTTAAGTTGTTTTTGTGCCTAAACCTAACCAAAGTGCAACTGTTTCACAACATTAGCCACAAAATTAAGCTTTATTTTGAAAGTCTAATCAAACGTTACACATAACTTTATTTCCTATGAAAATATGATCCAGTTTCACTAAGATCACTGATAAATAAACTGAACTGATGAAGAAGTATATACAGTATATATAGTTATTTATCACTTCAATGTACCGTCATACGTGTACTTCATTGTATGCCGAGGACACCACTCTGTACAGTGCCACCATATCTGAGCAAGTTGACGTAAATAAAGTGCAACAAATTAGTTTACAGTCCACTGTGTTTGGGTCCCAACATAGTTGGCAAAAAAACTCAACTAAAGTTGGCAATAAGCTCCACACATATTGAGCAAGTAATACATCTTTTTTGTGTAACCATTTATAACTCATTATATTATTATCTAATACATCAGTTATTTCCCTGTAATCTGGGCAAAATCTCATCTGCAGAGGGCGCAGGTTGATCAAAATAAGACGTCTTGTCCGGCTTTTGTGTTCAACTATATGCATTTATGATCAACATGGCTGAAGGTTGAACACAAGACTTCGGTGCCATTAGTACCAACAACCCGTGCGGGGTTATAGCACAAAGAGGCGCAGCCTCTGTTCACATGACCCTCCAAGAACAAATATTTATGAAATGACTGTCACTTACAGCAGTGGTTCCCAACCTTCTTCTGTAAGGGACCTCTTTTTATAATTTCTTAAACTGACTCAGTGACATATTTTATGGATATTTCATATTATATTCTTCTGATGTGAACATGATGATGGGACAAGAAAACACTGAATTTGTCAAAAAATAAGTATTTATGATGTTAAAAATAATCCTAAATACTACTAATAATAACAATAAACAATAAATAAAGCTTTTCAACATATTGGGTTTTAATACCACAAAATACCAAATAGAAATGGTTTAATTTTGCTATATAATTGATATCAGTATGTGACAGAGCTCACTGTGAATTCTGACTGAAATTCAGCATTAATTCATCATAAAATCTGAATTTGGAAATGTTTCTTTTGCTGCCCGCTGCTTCCCCTGATTGATGACCTGTACAGATGTGTTACTTCAGAATTACATATTTACCCTGTTAGATATTCAAATGATGTAGTGTGCAGCTGTGACATTGTAAGATAAGGCACTGGTTCCAGACCATTTTCTTTAAGGGAGTCCTTTTCTATCTTTTATTAAACCGACTCAGTATATATATACATATACATATTTTATAGATATTTCATATTATATTAAACTGCCAATGAACCCAAACAGTGAACTCAGTAACTACAGGAAGTTTGTGTAAAAGAAGACATTTGGATTAATTCAAGTCAAATTCTTCTTTTTCTCATCCTGAATGCGTAGTTTACATCAGTGGTTCCCAACCTGGGGGTCTTGAGGGCTTTTTTTCTTTTAGAGTTTTTTAGATCAAAGTTCTAATAGAACAATGGCGAAAAGTGTCAGTGACAAGAAAACACTGAATTTGTCAAAAGAGAAGTTTTTATGATTGTTACAAATTAAAAGTTCCCTAAACAGGAAATAATCTGCTCAAGATTCATCTAAATCTCTGGTTTTACACAAACCTCTTCCAGTTACTGAGTTCACTATAAAATATATACAACAGTTCCCTTCAGGAAAAAGGTTGGGAACCACTGAGATGAGGGCAGTTAATAACATGCAAGCTTTATGCAGATTAAATAAGTGAAATTCAGGTTTTCTCTAATAAGGTTTAAAAATAAACACCAGAAAACATTCACAATGAAATTTTTGACTTTTGTCATAAACTTGTAACTGTATCATCATTCCAACAGATTTACTTATATTTCTCTATAGTTCTTCTGCTTCCAACTGAAGCAGTATTTCTGATAAATGTATAATCTAACACAGTCTGAAGTTTGTTTGCATGGACATTATGAAAGCCACCACCGAATGACAAGTACAGAAACACTCACAGACCTCTGGGGCTTTCAGGTGAAATATCAAACGGTAAAAGCTCCATCTTCCCTCCGTAGACAGACAGACAGAATCTGCTGTCAACAGACAACAAGTGCAGAATCATTTACTCTACAAAAAGGAAAAGCTTTGTATGATAACTTCATTACAAACAATATAGCATTAAAAGCCTGGAGACTGTTTATAAAAGATCATCATCATCTTACCTGAATACGAGAGTCCGACTTTTCGCTGCTCAATGATGCAGAACTTCCTCTCAGGTCCATGTTTTGCCTTTTCAAGAGCAGCCGACTTTTTTTCCGATTATAACAGAGATTATTATCGCTTTAATTAAGATACATCAGATCCCTTTCATTAAAAATATAAATTGTACACAGGATAACAAAAGAATACCAAAGGGACCTGTTTTTAGTCACCTCTGTGGCGATAAACAAGCATCTGAACAGAAAACATAAGAAACATAATTGTCTTTGTTGCCAAGGTAACAACCTCCTAATTAAAGATTCATTAAAGAAGCTCTTGCCTTAATTGCTTGTTTGTGTGTGTGCTGTTAATACTTGGAGCGCAAGTTTGGCAGTAATGCAAAAGACTGCAATATTATAAAACAAAATATAATATCCTCTTCTGGCGGAGTCCGCCATGTTCCTACAGTAGCCCAGACCGGACATGGCTCTACATGGAGCCTTTTGTGTTTTTAGCACATTTCGCAAGCCACTGTATTTTTTTGCAATCATGTTTAATCACTTGAAAATAAGACTCGTTGTGTTTCTGTTACCTTAGAATGAGACGTTTTTATCTACAGAGGGAGCGGGTCCTCTCTGTTTCTACAGTAGCCCAGAATGGACAAACCAATCATTGACTCTAGACAGAGCCATTCATGTTATAGTGCATCTCACGGCCACCACGGCCACCACAGCCGTTTCCAGCCATCTAACCTGTGACATCTGTGACATGACATCAAGTATATAATCTGATAATTATTTTTCGTTGTTTATATCATTTTAAACTATCCCTGTATGTACAATAAAATAAAAACACAATTATAATTTGTTCCTTTGTCAAAAAAGTGTGAAGTGTGTTAATTGTTAAATATTTAAAAAAATATATAATACAGACAGAATATATTTTAAAAAGTTCAGTAAAACTCATCTTTGATGCAATATTCACATTGAATATATTATAAAATATTAATAACATGTAACTTAGTCAGGTTTCATCAGTTTTGTCTTCTATGGCCTGTACACATATACGGTATGTTTATATGAATGAATGCAGTCTGCATTTAAATGTAATAAAGATCAAACTCTAAAAAATGTATCTCTTACAGTTTTAACAAAAAATCACACTATAAAAATGTAATAACATTTTTGGAAAACTTTAATCATTTTTAATGACATTTGAGGTAAAAATCTTGATTATATTTATACAGGATCAACACAGTCTCACATTTTTCATCTTTCACAGTTTCATGACAACTTCCATTTTATCATATTCATAAAACTATAGGACATTAAAGGCTTTACAGTAATTAACTTCAGCTTAGCCAGCAAAGTTCTGTCCTTGATTTACTGTTTCTTACAGTATTTTAGAATTACAGTGTTACTAGAAATAAAATTACAGTTTACTACTGTATTCTTGTAAATTCACTACACAGTACTGGTCACAGTTTTGTCAGTAAATGTCTGTATATTTACAGTATGTGAAAGGTTTTACAGTGATTCCTGTATTTAAAGAATGTTACTGTAATAATAATAGTAATAATAACTTATGCAGTTCCTTTTTAAATATTTATTACAACAGAAAAATGTGACAGTACAACACAAGAAAAACTAGACCTCAATAAACTTCCTGTTTATTTTTCTTTTCTCTGTTTGATTCTTTTCTCCTCTTTCATGCAGTTTTAGAGCAGTACGCACACTAATTAAACCAAACTAATACAGTAAGAAACTGTAAATTTAAGGCAAAAAGTCTTACAATTTCAGTCAATTATTACGGTTATCATCACAGTTCTTCTTTTATTACTGTTAAAATTTTCTCTTTTTGACACTGAACCAAACTCAATTTTCATGTTTCAGATAAAACCCTCTGGAGTTAAATTGTCGGCTTAACTTTTCTGATATGAAATATATTTGACAAACACTTGTGTATTTCTTGGGATTGAAGGCCGTAGATGACGGGGTTGAGGCTGCCGGGAACAATTTTAAAGAGAATAGCTGAAATCTTCCTGTACTCTGCATACTGGGGGAAGCGATGGAGGGCGATGGGGACAAACCCACTGACTAACATGATCATATACAGGCACAGGTGAGTGCTGCAGGTCTTCAAGGCTTTACTGTTTAAAGACTTGTTCTTACTGGTCAGACAGACCACTGTAATCTTAGTATAGGTGAGAACCATGCTGCCTATAGATCCTGCGAACAGGACTACAGTGAAAGTGAGACCATAGACATTATTAATGAACACATTCTCACAGGAGAGCTTAAACAAGGAGGCATTGTCACAGAAAGTGTTTGCGATCATAGTCCTGCATCGGTTCAGCCGTATGGTCAGACCGAGTAGAATCCCGATCAAAACAAACCCCACTCCCCAGGCAGAAACTGTCAGCTTGATCACCATTTTGTGGTTCATTATGGTTGAATAGCGCAGTGGGTTGCAGATGGCCACATATCTGTCAAATGCCATAATCATGAGGAATGTGTGTGCGTTAGTGCCAAACATGTGTGCAGTAAAAGCTTGCATCACACACTCGTAGTAGTGAATGAGGCGCTCTGACGGAGGCACCAGGATGTCTGCAAGCAGCCGAGGAACCAGGAGAGTGTTTCCTACAACATCATTAATGGACAGGTTACAGAAGAGGAGATACATCGGCTGGTGGAGGCTTCTCTCCGTCCATATCAGCACCACAATGCCCACGTTGGCAACCAAGATGAAAACGTAGCTCAAAAGCAGAAAGATGAACATGGGGTACTTGTTAGTCTTGGTGACCCTTAACCCCTCGAGCTGCAGAGTGAGGCTGTTGTACGTGTAGTTTTCCATCTGTCTGAGAAAAAAAAAAAGAAAAGTTTGACAGAAATCTCTACATTGAGAGACAAATACAACCTTTAAAATAATCACATGAAGCATTGTAACAGAACAGAATTGTTCCTTTCAAATGTGGCAGTTCCTGAATGCATTTATCTGTTTAAATCAGTTTGAGCAGTAAAATATCCTTACGTATAAATATATGAGTGTCAAAGCATTGAAGAATAAAGAGTGTTTATTCTTTTGAAAAAAGAAAATTCAGTTCATTTTACTAAATAGCATTCAAAGGAAAGAGTCTTCCAAATCATCTTCCAGCCCTCAGTGACACAGTCCTCACCTTTCAACAGTTTAATGTACAGTAAGTCAGTTATAACATGGCTGTCCTCAGGGGAAGCTTTTACCATTGGCCAAAAAAACATCTATAATGATCCCGGGGTTATTGGAAACAGACTCGTCATGCAGAAACAAACCTTCTGTTGGCCATGTTGGAAACTGGAAGACTCTGATGAGGCTGTTGCAAGATGTGGAAACTGGATTATAAATGGATGTCAGAGGGTTGAAGAACTGTTCATCTTGTGTTTTAAAGGACCAATGTTTCAGATTTTGTAGCATCTAGCTATGTAGTTGTAGATTGCAATCACACTAAAGACTTGGGACCAATGATTACCAGAGGCCTAAGAGCTTAATGGGTTCCCACAGACAACCTGTACAATCATAAGACACCAGGTGGAACAATTACATGCATTTCAGTAGTGTCCTATGGGCCAACAATTGTCACAAAGGCTGTATTTGGACAGAAAATCAGTCAAGCAGCTGGTAGAAATGGTTGATGACAATGACGATGACAATGAAAGCAATCCAAACGTACTAGTTCCAGATCATCCTGTAACCAACAGCCTGCCAGACACCTATGAACAAAGCATAGCACAGATGTGGGGCTCATGACGTCAGCAGGCCTAGTACTCATCCGACTCAAACATAATTTTACTATGAGACAACAATACCCACTGACATTTGAAGAATTCACAGAAATTAGAAGGACAATATCAGGGCTGTTGGAAGCTATTGTGATGTCCTGCAATATCCCAAAATTTTCCTGTGAAAAAGAGTACACTTGGATGCCACAAGGCAACAGCGAGTCAGCGTAAATTTTGAATCGACTACAGAAAGAATTAGACACAGAGTCATATGCTCAGTGAACCGCGAACCATGCGAAAATATTCTGTCACAGTTTTGCAGCAACTACTGTGGGAAAGGGCATTAATTAAGGCAACAGAAACTATAATTTTGTCAAAGGTCAATAGGTCGGCAGACTAGAGCTATTGCAGTGGACCATCTAAACGTAATATGGAAAGCAGCGCGACCAACCGCCATCAAACAAGCCTTGTCTTTTTTGGCGGGAATGGCCTTGGCTACCTGACTACGCTTCTAATCGGAAGCACTGCAAGACTTAATCAAAACCACAGTACAAAAGAAAACTACACACTTGCAGTGGAATGGCAAGGCAGAGCAGGAGTTTGCACAACTTAAAGGTGATTTATCTACTACTCCTGCACTTACGAATCCAGACAATTTGTTTGTTGCAGAGAAACAAGGTTTGGCCAATGCTGTGTTAGCACAAAAGCATGGCCAGAATAAATAACCAATTTCCTATTTCAGCACACAACTTGAGACCCTGGTGAGAGGAATGCCGCCCTGTTACAAGGGACTGGCAGCAGGGGCATATGCTTCTGAAAAAGCCTCTACCATTACTATGGGATATGAGGTATTTTTGTACACCAATCATGCACTCCATGCACTGCAGCAAACTTTGTTCACCCACGCACGACACACAGGGTATAATATCCTCCTCTTAGCGCCGGAACTCACCATACTACGGTGTCAAACAGTCAGTCCCGCTGAGAGGTTAAGTCTATCTGACTTAAACCAGCTTAGTGCGATTCCTTTAATGCCAATTTGATGCTCAAGTCTCTGTAAAAGAATATTATGGTCAATGGTGTCAAATGCAGCACTAAGATCTAATAATACAAGTACAGAGACAAGTCCATTGTCAGAAGCAATCAGAAGGTCAATATTAACTTTAACCAGAGCTGTCTCTGTGCTGAACTCTAAATCCTGACTGAAAATCCTCAAATAAACTATTGTTATGTAGAAAGTCACACAACTCTTTGGCGACTACTTTCTCCAGAATCTTAGAGAGGAAGGGGAGGTTAGAAATCCGTCTATAGTTGGCTAAAACCCCTGGGTCAAGAGTGGGCTTTTTAAGAAGGGGTTTAATTACAGCTACTTTAAAGGACTGTGGTACATATCCTGATAATAAAGAAAGATTAATCATATCCAGTAAAGAAGTGTCAATTAAGGGAACAACTTCTTTAAGCAGCCTAGTTGGGATCGGGTCTAATAGACAGGTTGATGGCTTTGATGAAGAAATGATTGAAGTTAACTGATGAAGATCGATAGCAGAAAAACAGTCTAAATATATATCTAAGTTTACATTAGCAAAAGTCCCTGAACTTGGAGAGCCACTGATAACTGTTGATGGCAGTTGGTGATTCATTTTCGCTCTAATAGTAATAATTGTATTATAGAAGAAGCTCATGAAGTCATTGCTACTTAAGTTTATAGAGCTGTGGCTCAATAGAGCTGTGACTCTCTGTCAGCCTGGCTACAGTGCTGAAGAGGAACCTAGGGTTATTCTTATTTTCTTCTATTAGTGCTGAGTAAAAGGCTCCTCTGGCATGACGGAGGGCCTTTCTATAAGTTTTAAGATTATCTTGCCAAATTGAGCGATATTCTGATAATTTGGAAGAGCGCCATTTCCTTTCAGATTTCCTAGCTATTTGTTTTAACTGGCGGGTTTGGTGGTTATACCAAGGTGCTAGTCTCCTATGTTTTAATAATTTCCTTTTTATAGGAGCGATAGAGTCTAATGTTGATCGTCGTGAGCCTGCAGCACTATCGACAAGATTATCAATTTCAGAGGGACTAAAGTCGTTATAGGACTCTGTTAAATTCAGACATGGCATTGAATTAAACACTGAAGGAATCTTCTCCTTAAATTTAGCTACAGCACTGTCAGATAGACATCTGCTGTAGGAAGTTTTGCCTAATGGCTTATAATCTAATAGTATGAATTCAAAAGTTATTAAATAATGGTCAGATAGGAAAGGATTATGTGGGAAGACTATTAAATGTTCAATATCAATGCCATATGATAAAACAAGGTCAAGAGTGTGATTAAAACAATGAGTTGGTTTATTTACACTCTGACAGAAGCCAATTGAGTCTATTAATGATATAAATGCGTTACTAAGGCTGTCATTGTCAACATCCACATGAATATTAAAATCACCTACAATAATTACTTTATCGGATTTAAGGACTAAATTTGATAGAAACTCTGAGAATTCAGATATAAAATCAGAGTACGGTCCAGGAGCACAGTACACTATAACAAATAGAACTGGCTGCAGTGTTTTCCAGTTTGGGTGAGAAAGACTAAGAACAAGGCTTTCAAATGAATTATAATTTAGTTTAGGTTTAGGGTCCATTAAAACGCTCGAATCATATATGGCTGCTACTCCACCTCCTCGGCCAGTGCCTTGAGGAATGTGAGTATTAATATGACTGGGGGGGTGGATTCATTTAGGCTAACATACTCCAATATCATAATCTGATATTAACTCATTCACTAAAACAGCTTTAGAGGACAGAGACCTGATATTTAACAGTCCACATTTCATTCTCTTATTTTGTGCTACTGAGGAGTTGGTTTTAATTTTTATTAGATTTTTATGTTGAACTCCTCTTGTTTTTATTTCTTTAAATAATTTAGGTGGTCGGGGGACAGACACAGTCTCTATGGGGTTTTGGGTGGGTGACTGTTCTAAAGAAAGAGCAGAGAAGTGTGTAAGACAGCAGCTCTGCTTCCTGGTCCCAACTCTGGACTGTCAGGTTTTAGAAATAAACTTCGCCATGTTGCTAGATAAGAGAGCCGCTCCATCCAAAGTGGGATGGATGCCGTCTCTCCTAATCAGACCAGGTTTTCCCCCAAAAGGCTTCCAGTTATCAATGAAGCCCACATCGTTTTCTGGACACCACCTCGACATGCGTACCAATTTTCATACATGTCGGTCTTACGTGTCCTGGGGGCTGATTCTGGGGGGCGTGGCTAAGCCATTTTGCGATGCAAGGACAGGGCAGGACTCTTATTAAACATGGGAAGTTTTGTTGAGATCGGATCATGCAGAAGTTATGACAAATCCCTCTTTCATGGCGTAGGTTCGAAATTGGATACCACGCCATGGGCACGGAGTTTGACAGAATGTCATAAATATCACAACTTTTACTCATGAATTTCTTAAGATGGTTGTGTCCAAATCTGAAGTTGATCTGATCGTTTCCCTAGGAGGAGTTTGTTTTTAATACAACATGTGCAAATCTCCAGAAATGGCTACTAAATCCAAAATGGCGAACTTCCTGTTGGGTTGGGATATGGCGCCCACAGGATTTTTTGTTTGTCTGGATAAGATCTACGCGTGTGCCGATTTTTATGCATATCAGTGAAAGATGGTACAGTTTATCGGCCGCTGATGGGCAATTTGCAATGCTTATAGTGAACCCCTAGAAAATAAGAAATTTTTCGCCACGACTGACATGTGCGCCTCGTTTCATGAGTTTTCGAGCACGGTAAAGCCTCCATATATGCATTCGTTTAGGAGGAAAAAGAAAAAGAAAAGTAATTCCTTCAATTACAATAGGGCCTTCACACGGTCAGTGTTCGGGCCCTAAATATGAGAGATCAGGTTCATCATTGCAGTAAATGGACTGAGGGATGATGATGGTGATGATGATGATGATGTGTGGGTTTCCTCCAGGTGCTCCGATTCTCTCAACCAGAACATGTACATTAGGTTCATTTCTCCAGTCAGAGCCATTGACCAACTGTTTCTTGTACTTAATGCAGAAGTCAGTTGTCACTATACACTGTACTGTGTGTGATTGTGTCTTTTATTATTCCAAGACCAGGAATCTATTTACGTATTTGTACATACTTGAGCCATCAGCGTCCATCAGGGTTTATCAAATCCTTTTTCTTGACAATACAGGACAGCACTTACTTACAAAGTTACAGTTTTGGGCAAATAGAAAACATTAACTTGACCACAGCCCATCAGTAACAGCTCAAAATTAATCTTCTAGAAAGTTAAAGTGTTCATTAAATGTACAATTAACATCACTTTGTGTGTATTTATCAACCTCAGCAACAATATATTTGATGCTTTATGTATGTAGATATGAAAACTTTTCTCCCAGCTTTGGAAGAAATAGATCACTGCAGTCAATTCCACTTTACATCTAGTAAATGTGTTTACAGTTTATCCTTCCCACAGTCAGGTTTCAAATTAAATACACACCTGATGTAGGCGATCTGAGTGAGGGGCGAAAATTTCCAAGACAACATAGATTATTTCTAGGAATTGTGGTAATTTTTTATGAATTTCCAGAGGTTTCCATAACTGGAAAACTAAATCTTAATCTAAAGTCTCTAAAGTTCCAGGTTTTCCAGGATGCGTGGGAACCCTGTTCATAATTCCAGTCTGGGGTCCTCTACACCCCTCCCTCCAGCCCGCGACATGATGTCAGAAATATAATATTATAATCCAGCCTTTGAGATTGTGTTTTTAACTTTTTCTAGTTGTAAATTTAGACTACCCCTTCATATACAATTAATGACACAATTACATTTATTTTTGTTTGGTGCAACATAATATCAGAGGTCTAAGAAGAGATCAGGGTTCAGGCCAGATAAACCTTTATTAATCCAGATGTCATAGCAGCAACAGAAAAAATAGGATGAAAGCACAGGATGGTTACAGGTGAGAGTGACGGACCAAACCAGGATGATAACAATTAATATTAATCAAAAATAAAATAAGCAAAACACCGGACAGCTGGATATCTGCACAGGATTGAACAACAAAGATTGTATAAAATGAAATAAAAATGTCAATTTGTTAGATATTTTCACAATATTGACTGACTAAATGATACAGATTTCATTCAGTTAATTGAAATAGTGAGTATATTACACTCACATGCAGCATTTCTCCAAATTTATTTAAAATATGTTATTTATCTGAATAAAGGTCCTTTAATGCATTTTCTTCATACAAATGTTCTCACTTAAACTGAATTCAGTTTCATTTTCTTCTACTTAAGTAAATTATTACAATAACTGTCAAAACAGCTGATAAAAATGTCATTTGTAATGAAATAAAATCAACTTTTCAACTGTAATTATATCAACAATACTTAAAATACTGCATTCAAAATAACTTATTATTACTTCAAAAATTCATTTTTCAAAAACCAGGATAAAGAAGTTTCTGCTAAATTGTGTTTTAAAATAATAATAATTATTTAAAATTTATTGTGAAACCTTTTTGGGTTGGAACAGCTTTGACATGAATTTTCGTATCTCTTTGGACTGAATCCCATAAATAATGGGGTTGAGGCTGCCGGGGATGATGTGAAACAAAATGGCAGACAGTTTCCTGTAGTCAGAGTGCTGAGGGAAGCGATGCAGGATGACGATGAGCATTCCACAGAAGAACATAATAATATATACAAAGAGGTGAGTGCTGCAGGTCTTCAAGGCTTTACTGTTTAAAGACTTGTTCTTACTGGTCAGACAGACCACTGTTATCTTAGTATAGGTGAGAACCATGCTGCCTATAGAGGAGGTGAGCAAGACTACAGTGAAAGTGAGACCATAGACATTATTAATGAACACATTCTCACAGGAGAGCTTAAACAAGGAGGCATTGTCACAGAAGGGGTTCATGATCATAGTCCTGCATCGGTTCAGCCGTATGGTCAGACCGAGTAGAATACCGACCAAAACAAATGCCACTCCCCAGGCAGAAACTGTCAGCTTGATCACCATTTTGTTGGTCATTATGGAAGAATAGCGCAGGGGATTGCAAATGGCCACAAATCTGTCAAAGGCCATAATCATGAGCACAGTGTGGGAAGTGGTGCCGAACATGTGCGTGCTGAAAGCTTGAATCACACACTCGTAATAACCGATGAGGCGCTCGGAGGGAGGCCGCAACAAGTCTATCAGCAAACGGGGCACAGTGACGGAGTTCCCAATAACGTCATTGAGCGGCAGGTTGCAAAATAGTAGATACATAGGCTGGTGGAGGCTGGTGTCGATGAACACTAGAACCACAATGCCCACATTGGTTATTATAATAATGACGTAGGAGAGTAAGAAAAAGAAGAAGACAGGGTACACGGAAACTTCTGTGACCTTTAACCCTTCCAGCTGGAGGGTGAAGCTGTTGAATGTGTAGTTTTCCATCAACCTGAAACAAAAAAAGCTCTTCGAGTCCGGATATATTAATGATTGCAAACAGAAGAGGGTAGTTCCTGAAAAACAACTGACGACAGGTTGTTAGATATATAATAGTTCAGAGATTGAAATAATCAAAGCATTTAAATATTACCCTTTATTTTCTGTCACCTTGCTGTGTCTGCAGTCAGTCAGCCTCCTGCCAGAAGAACCTCTGACTCAGTTTTTATCAAGAAGTTGCTGGTGACGTAATGTCAGCCATCATGTTGATCACCATAGATACAGGAAGATGGTTAGACTCAGACATCCAGCCCTGAACATACAAGTGAAAGCAGAATTACTCACCTAAAGAATGAGTTAAAGTGAAAATTACCTTTTGAAGTAAAAGTAGAAAAGTACCTGGTTCATAAATTACTTTAGAACAACATTATGACATCATGTTGAGTCCAAGTTGTCCAAGTCCAAGATCAATGAGACAGAAAAAACAGAGAAAAACAGCTTTTGCCTACCTTTCCTGATGGACATTAGATATTGATCAGAATACACTGTATCTTTATGGATGATATTGATCAGAATACACTGTATCTTTATGGATGATATTGATCAGAATACACTGTATCTTTATGGATGATATTGATCAGAATACACTGTATCTTTATGGATGATATTGATCAGAATACACTGTATCTTTATGGAGATATGATCAGAATACACTGTATCTTTATGGATGATATTGATCAGAATACACTGTATCTTTATGGATGATATTGATCCTGTATTGACAGTCAGACTGTGGACATATGACGGCCTTTAGCTCGTGTTTCTAGAGTTACGTGTTGTTACGAACACGTTAGGAATTGTTAAAATGTGATATTTCTTAAAGGGAGCTTGGTGCAGGGAGCTTTTAGTTGGATTCAAACGGCTAATATGGATCGTTTCTTTAGTTATTGTTTATTGTAGTTATTTTTTTGGCCTTTAATTGCCTTTTTTTGATAGTTACAGCTGATAGACAAGAAGGAGGTAGAGAGAGAGGGGATGACACACAGCAAAGGGCCACAGGTTGGATTCAAACCCCAGACCACTGCAGCAAGGACTGAGCCTTGGTAAATGGGTCGCCAGCTCTACCCACTGAGCTAACCGGGCGCCCAATATGGATCATTTTTAACGTTTTGTCTCCACTACAGAAACACTATCACAAGTCTGATAAGGTTGTCTGACAGTATTACAGTAAATGGTAAATGGACCTGTACTTGTATAGCGCCTTACTAGTCTTCTAACCACTCAAAGCGCTTTCACACTACATGGCACATTCGCTATTTCACACACATTCACTCAGTGATGGCAAAGTCCATCAAACAGAAACTAACTCATTCATACACATTCACACACATTCACAAACACACACACCGATGCACGGCATCAAGAGCAATTCGGGGTTCAGTAGCTTGCTCAAGGATGCTTCGACATGTGACAGGAGGAGCCGGGGATCAACCAACAACCTTCCGATTAGTATTGATTACTGACGCTGGCTGATCAGGATCATTATCAGCTTATTTTACCCTGTTTCTAATGGTAGTATTTGTGTGCTTTTAAACTACTTTTCCTAATTCAACATGATGTGCTTGTTATGACTCCAAATGAAACGTAATTTGGATGTTATATTACTGTTTCATGCTCGTGAGTTATCTAACATCCTGGAAACTTTAAAAGGTCAAAAACAGACATGTTGTCAGATGATAGTTCCTTTAGTGTGGTCTGTGCCATGAGGCCTCCCATGCTGAGTAATGAAATGTTAATATGAGCTCACTGTTTCACCATCTCTGTTTGTTTCCTGTTGTTACAGCGACATCTCGTTAATTACTTCCATAGGCCGGAGGGACTAGGCTAACCCCAACCTCCCATCCCAAAACCAGCTGACCTGAATCAACAAGCTCCTGTTTCTTCTTTGAAAAGGAAAGTTTCTCTGTTCAGACTCAACAAACAACATGAAATCCCCAGCTGGCTTGTACAGTTCTGGTTGCCCCAGAGGGTTCTCCAAAGATCTAACAACTTTTATGTTGTGACTTTTCTTAAAAGTTTGTGCAAACCAGAGCTGAATGCGTTTTAACATCACGGTATGCCACACTACTTTAAATGATATATTGTATGGTGTTATTGGCCTTCACCTGCCTGCTTTTTGTTTAATATATTGTTTATTGGCAATAAATCTTTTCACAATCTGTGACTCTGATATGTTGGTACAGAACATGGACAGATGGATGTGTCTGTGACTGTGTCAGTATAGTATGTGCTTTTGTGCCATATTTCAAGGTCCAGTGTGTAGGATTTAGTAGCATCTGGTGGGGAAGTTGTAGACTGAAACCTGGGTGGTTGGTTTATTTGGTGACAGGGTTTAATGTTCATAATGATTCAGATCATGGCATTCGTGTCACATGAGACAGAGATTCCCAAACTGTTCCATGCCAAGGACCCCCCAAAAAGCATGAGTGTATGCTTTAGCTGATGCCCTCCTTTAGCGAGTTGCCTTTAAAGCTCATTGACAGAACTGCAACAAGTGTAAAACATAAATAAATAAAACACCTTACTTGTTATATCTTACTTTTATTAACACAGTAAGCATTCCATTTGTATTTAAAATCTATAATCATCACATTAGAATCAACGTGTCCTTTTTTGTGATTAAGCACTAGTTAGCTAGATGCTAGCAAGCAAGCTGACCTAAAAGATTTGTTCTTTAAATGTGGCCCCTTCCTGCAATGTGCTGTGGTATGGATTAAAGTGCTACCTCGTGCACCTGTGTTATAACTGGGCTGTAATGAGAGTCCTGGAGGCCTCAGCGCTCCCAGGTGTCTCAGTGACCAACATGTCAATAGAATTAAAAACTGCAGTGAGGCGTTCGGGGGGCATCGGACAGGGAACCGCTCTCTTTCTCTGGAGACACACCAACCTTCTGTCTTTACGCTCTGCAGGAGTGTGGTTATTTGTGACCCATGATATTGATCATTTTATTATATTGATTTAATTGAGTATTTCTTACACAAGCTCTATATGTCTGTGACATATTGTGTATATTGTCAGGAAATCTAAACAAGACAGCACCTCCCTCACAGCACGGTAAAACCCAACTAACAGTCCGACAAAATGGCCGGACGGTGAACTGAAACACACATGGCGATATGTTGTCAGGTCAAATGTATTATTTGTCCGATACTTTGGTTTATGACCAAATACTTACTGCTAATTAGCAAAAGTTAGCATGCTAGGATGCTAAACTAAGATGTTGATCATGGACAGTACACCAACTGACCACTGTTAACTGTTTATTAACTGACTTAGCACATTTCCTGGTCTTTTACCAGACATAAGTGTTTGTAGATCTTTATGATAGAAAATCAGCAGCCAGAGGTTTCGCTGTGATGTGGGTCCCTGCAGGTCCCAGGAGGTTTCATTAGCTCCTCTGATGAACATCTATTAGTGGGCCTCTGTCTTTGCTCCCAGAGGACTAATTACCATCAGAAACTGTTGATAAGTGTTTTGTTAGGGAGCAGCTCACAGCAGACCTCATTAATGATCACATTTGTTTCAGAAACATTAACAGAAGTCATTACAGGCTGCTGGAACACGCACTGGTGGACCGTCAGGGGGCAGTGTAGTCCCAGAGCTCCCAACATGCAACAGCTGAAAAACCACAAACCACAAACAAGTACAACATCATGTTCATTCTACAAGTTTGTGTGTTTCTTCCCATAGGCCTACTGAAAATCTCAAAATCTGTTGGGTCAGAAATTTCTGTGTATTTGCATGTTAAATGTTGAAAATTGAGCAGCACAATGTGTTGCTGGTGCCACAGCTACATTACTACAAGTATAAACATCAGTAGTTATTACATATTTGAAAAGTCCAACAGAACAGACGGCTAGAGTCGGGGTCTGTCCGAGGTTTCTGCTTCTTAAAAGGAAGTTTTTCCTTGTCACCATCGCCAAGGTCTTGCTCATGGTGGTACTGTTGGGTCTCTGTAAATAATGTTATAAGGAGTTCGGTCTAGACCTGCTGATGAATCTGATACAGCAAACTGAAAATCCATCTAACAACCAAATCAGCTGTTGAAGTGATTTCATAACTTTCTAGCTCATTGCACATCTCTTCTAAAGGTAAATTAATTTCAAACAATTTACACTTGTATCCAAATTAATACCACAATGTTCCTATATTGTATTTGGACCCTTAGCTCCATGCTACTAACTAGCTCTCCGTTTACAAATCACCCCATCAGCCAACACCACGAAGCAACCAACACCAGACCCACACCGCACAGCCAAGACACAGCCAGCCGGACAAACAGTTAGTTAGCTGGATGTCCCTGCGTGGACACACATAAATCAGTCCATGGGCAGCAGAGAAAGTGGCTGCGCTACAACCCGTCCGATACAGTGATGGATACAATGACACAGACACATGTAGTTTTGTGATATGAAAACATTATTTTTTTTTATAAAATCTGAGCTCATGACAGAAAAGATCATTTTCAGAGAATCTGAATCACCTTCCAGCTGAAAACCCAGAACAGCAGTTTTCACATCGTTCATCCGATTTAAGAGAGTTCTGGTTCCTACTCAGCAGAGTTTTCAGACGTCTCAGCAGATGTGGCTCAGTGTGTCCAGGAAAATGTTATAAACAGCAGAAACGCCCACAGACTGTTGTGGTTTCTCTTTCAGGGATTCATGTTGAACGCGGGTTGTGTTTTGTTGGGTGTAAATAGAAACACACAACCCAGTGAGTACTCTGCATGCTCTGTATGTGTCATTACAGGTTCACTGCTGGTGACGTCGTCGACGTCTTTACAACAAGAGTACATATGTGAGTCAGGTCCATCAGGAGGATTTGATCTCATATTATTGAAATAAGTATTTCAGTGCTTTATGGTCATACTTTCTCCTCCACCATTAAATCTGGAATCAGTTTTGTTTCCGACTTTCTTTTTTAAGCCAGAACTCTTTCACTATATTTAAGTGCAGAAGTGCAGGAGTGCAAGAGTTTTTCTTTCAGTCGTTTTCTGTTCAATCAAACCCAAGAGAAACAACTACGTAATGTCCTAATAATTTGTTAAAAATCTGTTAAATGGATCAAAATGATGCTGCAATAAGTACATCATGATGGCGATTTGTAAAATGTCTAAATTCATACTTTGTCAGTCCATGCGCAAGACAACAAACGAAAAACTGTTAAAATGCTTGTTTTATGAATGTAGAATCTTCAAAAAAAATTTAACTAGAAAGAAGAAGAAGATATACTTTATTAATCCCCTAGGGGAAATTGATTCACAGGGTGAGTGAAATACACACTTCATGCACTTGTGGAGATGCAACAGGGAGAGAGATAGTGCTGCCACGTTAGCAGAGCCCCATGAGCAGTTTCTTGGGGTTAGGTGGCCTTGCTCAAGGGCACCTCGGCAGTGTACAGGAGGTGAAACTGGCACCTCTCCAGCTACCAGTCCACACTCCATATTGTGGTCTGTGGGACTTGAACCGGCAACCCTCCGGTCCCTACACACTGAGCTACAAGATGTCAGATAAATGTAACACAGTAGAAGTAGAAAAGTAATATTAAATGTACAAGTACCTCAGAACTGTACTTTAATAAATGAACTCCCCCCCAGTGATCATCAGTTGCACATACAGGGGAAAATGTGACATGAAACACAAACTTGTTAAAGGACATTGGATTTGACTTTGGCTCCACCTGCTGGTCAACAGTCAGACTTACTTCTACACAATGTCCATTTTATGGACATTGTGCCTTTATTGTATTCACTGTAGAGACATTAGTTCAGAGGGGAAACCGAAGACTTTGTGTGTTGTTTGTCCCAGACTGTGCGGACTTCCTGATGCTCTCCTAACTTTTTTTCATCCACGTTCAAAGAATTTTTGTCAAAAATATTTTTATTACTTCTTCTCTTCACACACAAGCTTTCTACCTCAGTTGAGAGGAAAACCTGCTTTGTAAAAACCTGTCCCTATAAAAGATTATACATGTGGGTCTAAAACTTTCTCCCTCTTCCTTTGGCTTCTTTTGCTTTTTCTCTTACCCAACTCCTTCCTTCACATTGAGGGTTCAAATTCCAGTTCCTCCCTCCTCCCGCGGCTGTGGGCCAGTAAAGCTGGAGGAGTGTCAGTTGCTGGAGGAGTGTCAGCTGCTGGAGGAGCTGGACGGTTTCATAAACAGCGCAGAGGAACTGAGTCGAACTGCTGCTTTCACAGTGAGTCTGAATTAATCTTTTCTCTCTCTTCTGTCCTTTCAGCCTTTTTACTGGGACTATTGGGACTGTTAGCTTGTTCTCTCACTCTCCAAACTCAAATCAAACGATGCAAAGTTTGTGCAAAGAGCTGATTTATTGAGCTGCTGAGCTGCATGCTGACAGCTCTGATTCATGAATGAGTGCTGCTGTATTTACAGTTGTAGGAACATGCTAGTGACTAAATACATTTGCTAAAGTACTTAATTACAGCTTTGAGGTACTTGTACTTTAGCATTTCGTGTTTATGCTAAAATGCTTTTAAAAAGGCAAAACAGTAACAAGTTTGAATTTAGTGATTAAGTTTTGACAAGTAACAAAATATCAGGCTTTAAGTTTGACATTTACTGAATGTTTTTGAAGGAAAAACAAACAGCGTTTAAGCAGTTTTTAATGCCAATAAAAATGAATCCACTTTATCTCCTAGAGCCACATTCAAAGTCATAATGAGCGGTGACCACATGGAGCTAAATTAAAAGCAGACGCAATCTCACCAAGCTGAGCTCAGAGTGATGCAGCAGTCCGACTCATCCCACAGAGACACACTGTCAACTTAAAGGAAATGACCGTCCAACCAACTTATATGAGCTGCCGAAAAGCCACATTCAAAAGCCTGTGCGTAGTCTTTTAAAAGCCTGTGCGTAGTCTTTTAAAAGCCTGGGTATACTCTTTTAAAAGCCTGTGCGTAGTCTTTTTAAAGCCTGGGTATACTCTTTTAAAAGCCTGGCGTATACTCTTTTAAAAGCCTGGGTATAGTTACTCTTTTAAAAGCCTGGGTATAGTTATTTTTTTAAAAGCCTGGGTATACTCTTTTAAAAACCTGGGTATAGTCTTTTAAAAACCTGGGTATAGTCTTTTAAAAACCTGGGTATAGGGCGCCCAGTTGGCTCGGTTGGTGGAGCTGGCAGCCCATGTGCCAAGGCTGAGTCCTTGCTGCAGTGGCCCAGGGTTCGGGTACGACCTGCGGCCCTTTGCTGCGTGTCGTCCCCTCTCTCTGCCCCCCTTTCCTGTCTATCTTCAGCTGTCACTATAATAAAGGCAATAAAAGCCCAAAATAGTTAAGATTTTTGGCCTGGGTGTAGTTAGTCTTTAGTCTATTAAACAACTGACATGTAAAGATGTTGTTTTGATGCAGGTAGCTGCTGTTGTTGTTGGGTTTTCTGGTGTGTCCATCATGTTCTGAAGTGAGGTGTGTCCGAGAGAGGCCTTCAGTGTCAGAGTTCAGATCTGTCCCTCCGCCGCTCAGTGAGTCGGAGGTCGACTTGTTTTCTTTGCGCTCAGATGAGATAAAACAACCACCACCAGAATCAGCGTCTGGCTTTCATTCTGCTGACATTCCTCTGCTGATAAGAAGCCTCTGCCTTCTAGCTACAATATGATTGATGTCTCTTTCTTTCTCTTTCTGTTCTATTGTTGTTCTTTGTATGTGTCCGTATTTCTGTCCCAAAACTTTTTTGTCCGATCTAGAAATGACTGGCCGATAGTGCTCTGGGATGTTAAGAAAACGAGCAACTGGTCAGACGCTACAATGGATACAATTCACGAGATACAACTGCGTATTTTAAGTGTACAATTCTGTCTCTGATTGTACGTTAAGTGTATAAATAAAAAATGTATAGTTTGTGTTAGCAATTCACAAAAATACCTCAACCAGGTGGGAGAGGCCAGACAATCAGTATTCGTGACATTAACATGGCGCTCACGATAAGTGTTGCCATTACATTTTCCCAACATTGAAGAAATAATACTGGCACTGATGGTCCAACATACACTTTAAAAAAATGCCCAAATCAATGCCAGTGTCTCTTTCTTCTCGCCAATTTCACTTGAATCTACCTGCGTCTTAAAAGGTTTGTCACAATCTGCTGCGACGACAGTAAAAGAACAGATTAGAACACACGTGGAAGCACTTTGACATTGGGGAGACAAGAAGAAAGGAGTGCTCAAGAGTTCATTAATTCTTTTTTGGATGCTGGCACAGGATATTTATCAACCTCATCCCACACAGGACAAACTTCCCCCCATCCTACAATCTTGTCAACACAGGTCACTGTTGTTTTAGCATACTCACTCTTTGCAGGGACTAGCTGCAGATGACCAAACAAAAATGGAAGCCGTCAACTCAAACAACCTTCTGGGTTTTTCAGCATTTATCTTTCAGAAAAACAGGTGTTTAAATGTTCGCCAAGCAAGCAAATTGTTCACTGAAATTCACAACTGACTAACCAGCAGAGAAAAGAGTCCAACAGTCTGTTCATTCCAGAAGAACTTGAGATATACATTGCCCCACAGGAGAGACATAAACACTGTCACAAAGGACCCTGCTGAGCTCAGACTAAACCTGCATCCATTAGTTGAGTGGTTAGTTTATCTGTTTGTTAAACCCTTATTAACCTTTTCTCTCTCTAATGCTGCAGTCATTTTAATTTTGGCCTTCGTCCAGACACAGCCAGCAGCTTTCACTCTCACTCTCACTATGTAAACATACAGCACACACACATATGTTCGCTCTCCAACAATCTAGAAAACTACAGCCGTAGCCACAGGTCGACGTGTGTGAGAAATGAGCAGAAACTCTGGAGCGCAGTGTGTGTTTGTTGGCTGCCTTTTGTGTCCAACATTGGGTGCTGTGTTACAGCAGCAGGAACTGAGCAGTCACATGTTCAGAGTCTGGATGTTGAAATGGGCTTTCTGACTGCAGTAAATGTGGCAGTATGTGTGTTTTCTGAGTGGTATTAGTGATATCAGTGTTGACTCCTAAATGACTTTGTTTGTATTTCACAGGTGAAAACTGAATCATGGTGGCCAACAACCTCAACACGAACTCTGACCACACGCGGTCACGATCTCCTGCCCTTCGCCGGAGTCCATTCAACAACATCAAGGTTTGTCACTGCTTCACCTCCAGTGTTTGATGAACTGTGACACTCAACCCGAGAGCAGAATTAATTGAAAGCTTTGTACTCGTTGGACTTGGTGTTCCAGAGGTTGCTGTGCTGTGTGAAGACAAACTTCACTTCCTGGCGTCCATCCTGGTATTGTTCTCTGGTCATGAAAACATTTCCTCTGGAGCTCACCGTCACTCGTGGTTTCACTTTTTCAGGCCTCGTATTTGTTTGTTAGATTTTGATTAGTTTGATAAGTACAATTTGCACTACCTTGTACCTCCTTCAGCCGTCACTCTTTTCAGTCTGCTACTCCCAGTGACTGGAACCAAAGGTCTGCACACCCTTATTCTGTTTTCCTCCTTTAATAACTCAGTACGTTAATTTCTGATCACTGCACTTGGTTTTGAATCTACATCTCTGGAACACAGTACCTATCTGTTGTGTACATACTGTATTGGGCTGTTTTAACTGTTTAACTGTATTTTTTAAATAAATAAAGGTAAAATTACCCAACTTTCTGACCTCCCTTCTTCTTCTTCTTCTCTGCAGTTCTTTGTGTTCTGCCACAGTCTGCTGCAGCTGGCACAGCTGTTGGTGTCGGGCTACATGAAGAGCTCCATCTCCACCATTGAGAGACGCTACGGCCTCTCCAGCCAGAAGTCGGGAGTCCTGGCTGCTTTCAATGAGGTCAGAACGGGATGCTTCCTGCAGTGTGTTCTCGTCTCTGCTTGTAAACATCACTGCTCCTCCATCTTATTATGTGCAGATTATAAAGACTTATAAAGAGCAATATTGGTACTTAATTTGGAATCTCCATCTCCTCATTGGACCACAAGTTTCAGCCATGGTTCCCGAAGTCTGCTTCAACTAAACTTTCAACTTTAAGTCCGACATAGGTCCAGAATATGGGCCACAATGGTCTGACATTGGGCTATGATATGGCTACATCATAGGCCATAACTTGCTTCCAGGTCTCCTTCACTGCTGTATTTAGGCAGACTGTATGGGCTGGACTAATTTCGCTATGTGGGACGTATCCATAGAGTTCTGTTTTTAAACTCAGACTTCATTCAGCAAGAGTGATATATTTCTGTGAAGTGCTATGACCGTTAACCTGCACGGATAACAGCTCCTACACTTCTGATTCATGTTTATTTCCCCGTCAGAATAAGACTTTTGTTTGTGTGTCCAGGTGGGAAACACGGTCCTCATCGTCTTTGTGAGTTTCTTGGGGAGTCGAGTCCACCGGCCGCGCTTCATTGGAGGTGGAGCTTTGCTGGCCTGCCTGGCCTCGCTGCTGATAGCGATGCCGCACTTCCTGAGCGGACCATATGACTACACCAACCGCATCAGCTGTGAGATCAAACACACAAATCCCCCAAAAAAGCCTCTGAAATAGTGATTCTCATCTTGATTTGATTTGATTAAAAACTGGGTTTATTCCTAAGGAACTGGATAGAAGGAAGATAAAAGTTAGTTCATTCCTATGGAAATTACCCGGGTCTTCCGCATATGACGAGCTGCTAACTTCTGATTAAACTGATAAAATCATTTAATCGTACAGCTCGTCTATACTTTTCAAACATTATCAGATCAAATTCTGATAGTGAAACGAGTCATTTTGCAGGGGTTGTGACGCTCAACAAAATAGATCAGATATTATACGATATTATACGATATCATCCATATACAACCTCTGATTCTGATCTCAGGACAAATTCAGGACATGAGCCTGGAACTTCAATGTAGACTCACCTTCCCCTTCTGTTTCCTATCAGCCTCCGGGGATAACAGCTCTGGCCTCTGCCAATCAGAGAGAACCCTCACCACCTCATCGTCCAATCAGAGCTGCAGCCAGAAGGAGAGCCCCGCCCAGCAGGTGGTGTACCCTCTGCTGCTGCTGGGTCAGCTACTGCTGGGTATTGGAGCCGTCCCCATCCAGCCCTTTGGCATCTCCTACATCGACGACTACGCCAGCAAGAAGAACTCGCCGCTCTACCTCGGTGAGCTCACTGAGGAAACTCTGAATTATCCAAACAGTCCGGTCCTGGTTAGTAAAGTGAACCACCAGGAGAACAGGTTTTCCAGTCAAAGAGATTTGAATTATGCTAGCTATGCAAACTTACCTGCCTGCAGTAGTGGAGACAAACAGCAGTTAGTCTACCCATCACTAACTGACTGATTAGCAACCAGGTGTGGAGCAGCACATTTACATTTAGTCACTTCATGTGTCTTCTGATCTGATATCGATCCAAAAAGCATTCAAGATGGATAAAAATCTTATTGGTAAAACCTCTACAAAGTATGTCCTCAGGCAGCTGAAGGTGGCTAAATTAAAGTTAGTGGCATCATGGATCACGTTAGATGGGGAAGTCATTTTGGAAGCTAACCTTTGCCAACTGACATATCCACTCAGATAGAGGTTTTGTTGGCAATAACGCTAGCGAGCAAGAAAGCAAGCTAATGTAAGCTAGCCTGAATAACAGGCTGATCAGCACCAGGAGTCTGGATGAAGCTAGCTGCCACTATTTTAATACGTTAACTCGCTTACTAACGTAGAGGATAAGTTAATGCCACCTGTCTCACCTCCTTAAACCTATTATAATTGTATTATTAAAAGAGCATTATGTAATCCACTCTCTTTTTTGTTAAATAACAGCGGTGTAAAAAGTATCTCCTTCCTGGTTGTAATTACCAGTTAGAGGTTAGAATGAATGGAATGGAACAATGGAAACTTCCTTTCATTAGGTTGTGTAATATTGTACTCACATTACAGACGTTTTACCTGTGTATCAGTAACAGGAAATATAAACTCATGTGAGGAGCAGAATTATTTTTCATTCATTTGCTCGAGTCAGCCTCTATAAACTCTAGAGGTATGTTCTATATGTAGTCGAGCTGGATACTTGCTGGATAATGTGTCATTTTATTCGGGTAATGCTGCGTTTCATCGGTCGCCTGTCAATATCGTTTTAGCTTTAGTCTCAGCCTGTTAGCATGATGTCGTAACCTGGGACATTTTAGCTTCAGCCTTAAGTCTGTTGTTATTCAGTTTGAAGCCACATTTTTACCATCCACTGTTTAGATCTTGGTGGTTTTCAACTCTAGATTTGAACCGGGCTAGGCTATAATCGAGATGTTTCCCAAGCATGCATTTGGCTCATTTTCTTTTCCTTGTCTGATCTGGTGGCTTTCTGCTTACCTAACAAACCTGTTTTGAACCTGATCCATACACAGGAATTTAAATGATAACAAATCACCAGAACTGTAATTCAGTTAATTACGTTTCCCTCTAAACTGCTGTTGCAGATCAGTTCATATAAACCTAACTTCTAGGAGACAGGGCTGGTCACTAACAGGTCTGAATGGCAGCAGTCAGGGAGAGGAGGGAGTTCCCAGCAGTCCAACATAAAATAATCTCTGACGCTCTCGCTGCTTCTCTTCACAGAAGCCAAACAATAAAGTTATTATACTTTTCTCCGACTCCCAGTTAATCTCCGCCATGAGAGTAGAGTTTTGTTGTACACAAACTTGCATAAAACTCAATAATCACTTTTAGTTACAGGAAATCTCATGTCGGCAAAAACAAACTCCCCGCAGCAACAAAACTTTTAACAAATACTTGACGCCTTCCCTCCAAGCCCAAGGATTAAAAAGTATGTTATTTAAAATGTATGCCACAAATCAAATAGTTCCCTTAATTTCCTAAAACAAATAACACAATTATTCCCATTCCCACAGAGTCAACCCTTAATTCCCACAGATCCACTGTGTTTGATCCAATCAGGCGGCAGGAGAGAATCATAGAGAACTAACATTACTGAGCGCCAGTTAGTAAAACGGATACGAGAAATAATTGTAATGTAGTTTGTTCTGTTATTAATTTGGCGTTACATTTGGTAAACAGGGCATTATAACTTGAAACTCCAAAGGAGAGTCCAATTCCTTTCTGGGAACACGGTAGCATCAGCATAGATTTACTAAAATGTTCAGCAACTAGAAGCTTTCTAGACATTAAAACTCTTAATTGTTGTCATCTCTCAACTTCGAGTTACTAATAATATTTTTAATTCTTTCTAGCAAGCATTAGCAGTGAAATTAACACTGCACACAATAAAAAACCTTTAAGGTGGGTCAAGCAGACTAAAACCTCAGTCACCTCTCTTCTGACAGCAGTGGTCTTCATCGATGTTCATGAGGTGTTTCTTGCTCATATTTTTCAGGAATCCTCCTCGCTGTGACCTCCATCGGCCCGGCTGTCGGCTTCATCACCGGCTCCCTCATGCTACGCTTTTATGTCGACTTTGACAAGTTATCCAAAGGTGAGGAGACACAGCGGGGATGTGCAAAGCTGCACAATACGTCGAGTAAAGTCAAGCTCATTTATAACACTTGTTTGAAAAGGAAGGGGAGGATTTCCTGTATGAGTGTGAAAACACTTAAAAACACTTGAAAACACTGAAAAGCTGATTAATATTGGTCATTTCCTCACTGCAGCTATAAAAACACAGAGATCAGAGCTGCTAATAAAGGAGACAAAGGAAATAACACATTCATGCTGTCTTACTTATGTAATGTGATGTTCAGTAGCTGTGAAAGGTTTCCACTCCTTCAACCTTTTGGCACACATTGAGTTAAGTTATTTGACAGCTGGTCAATCTTTATGTGTCTGAGTCAATATAGGTTCCCAATGGACTTGAGACCACAGAAACAGGAAAAACAAAAGAACATGTAACATTCTTCATCCTTTGTCACTATTTCATAATTGACTTAGTTAAAACGTGAACCATGTAAATCTGCCAGAATGTTATTGATTATGACTCAACCCCACAAGAGTGAGACAAGTCCAAGTCAATAAACTGTGTAAAAATGTCCACAAGAAAAGTCCAAGTCAGCACCCCCTTAAAACAGACACAAGGTCCAGACTGCAGTACTACGGCCTGGTAAAGTGACTGAATGACCAATCCGGTCTCACTTCCAACTTGACAAATACTGCCACTTGGTCATTTCTGTACGCGCCCACCGTCAAAGTCAGGTGACGTAGCATAAAGAGTGAGAAAGTCTACACATGGAGGAGGTGGGGTGGATGGATGGCTTAAACAAACACAGGTGTGAAACCGAAAGTTAACAACATGCTTTAACTATCATATGTAAGTTATATCAGGCACATCACCCTTACCCCTTTCCTAAACCTAACCAAGTAGTTTTTGTGCCTAAATCGTTTCACAGCATTAACCACCCAAGCTTTATTTTGAAAGTGTAACAGGAAGTTGCATATTTGTAATCTGTAATTGCTAAATTGACCTTGAACGCTGCATGTCCACAAATCATGCTAGAACTGTACCTGAAGCTTCATATTTTGAGGCGGAGGGCCACTGACCAAGCAGCAGTATTTGATGAGATGGCAGTGGGAGTGTGTCCACACCTGCACCCCAGCAGCAGCGTTGTGAAATAACCAAACGAAACCCAGTCTGAAGTGTTTGCTTGAAAAACACTGAAAGATTAAGACTTCCATTTCAACAGGTGTTTCATACAGGGGAGTGTCAACCGTTGGGACTTTGTCATAATAATTTTTGTCCCAGGTAAAAATTCAGATTCATGTCAAGACTGGCAACAAAACTGCACAGGTGTGAGTCACAACTTAAATGACGTCTTCCACCAGTTCTAGCTTGTAAATCAAAGTTATAAGATGCTATGTCATTTAGAGTAGATGCTTCTTTGACACAGTTGCAGCTTCAAACTGTTGTTTTTTTCCTTTAACACTTTAAGAGTGTTTAGCTGAATAACTGTATATGTGTATTATTATAATTACTACTAGTTACAGCAGTAATAGTTGTACTGTTGACCTTTACTTAACCAGAGATGAGACTCATTGGAAGTTTTACAGAAGCAAAAACAACCCAGACAAAATAAATGGATTCAAATCTACAATTTCATCCACAAATAAACCCAACTGTGTCAGTGATCTTACATCCAGGTACATACGAGAGACATTACACCACAGAGAGCTCACTGCTTCAGGCTACAGTGAAGTTTGATGTTAGTTGTTTGTTTAACAGTTGTCTTTAAGGTAAATCAACACTTCATAAAATAAAAATTTCACTTTTAAATCCACTCTAAAACTAACAGGCAGTGCAGAGGAGAAAGGATCAGTGTTATGTGTTCTTGTTTTCTGATACCTGTTAAAGTCCTTAATGCTGTTTTTATATCAATTGTAAAGAGGAGAGAAAGTGTTTGCTGCAGAGAGAAAAGGAAGTTACAATAATCTACGGAGATTAAATAAAGGCATTCCAGAGTTTTCCAGATTTTTATTTGGGAGAAATTATTTATAGATTTTCCTTTGTTGATGTGTCTGTTCAATTAGAGGTTGTGGTCAAACAGAACAACAAGGTTTCTGCACTGTGAATAGTAATAAAACTGAAGGAAGAACGGACCAGGTTTCTAAACTCAGTGTTTAAATGACTGACAGAGGCTACTGGAACTGAAGTTGGAAAGTGTTTTGCCTTTGGTTGTAATGAATGGTGACCAGTTATTCTGTCAACATACAGTATATCGAAGAATGAACCAACAGACAAATCAGAGTAATTTGATGTTTTTGTGGAAAGCAGATAACTGCCTATGTCTTTTTTTTATCTTTTCCACATCAACAAGAACACAGAGCGTTGATTTTTGCCACCTCTGCTCATATTTCGGGACTCACACAGTTTGTTGATGTTCAGTGAAACTCAGATGAAACTCTGCTTTTGTGAAGCCTCTGAGATTAATGGAGCTTGACTTTCTTTAGAGGCTTGTTCAAACACAAACTTGTTCCTTTACACCACGTGGGGCATGTGAATGGAGGCAGGAGGTGATTGTCTAAGTCAGCGTGTGTGTGTGTGTGTGTGTGTGTGTTTATGCATCCATGTATAATATGTGTGTTTAGGGGGACATGTTTGTGTGTGTGTGTACTTGTTTTTGCCCTCACCTTGTTGGGACCAGTAGTCCTCATGGGGACCAAAGACTTGTCCTAATGTGGCAACACATCCTCGTTAGGAGTAAGGTGTGAACATCAATCAATCAAACTTTATTTGTATAGCAGGTTTCATACAGTTGAGTGCAGTTCAAAGTGCTTTACAGACAACTGGCAGGACGATAACAATAACACATAATGGACTAAAAATTAAATTGTAGATTTAAAAGTAGAAATAAAAACAAAAATAGATTTTACAAGTAAAAAGTTTGTATTACCTAAAAGCTAAACTAAAAACTAAATAAAATAAATTAAAAAAGCAGGCAGAAACGATGATGTTGAAACAAACATTTGTCGTTTTTAGTTAACGTTAAAAAATGTAAACATTTCCAGCTGCTCTCACATCTAGGTTAGGTTTCTGCTAACATGGAGGCTTTATGACCTATACTGCAGTCAACCAGCAGGGGGAGATAGAGAGGGTCTGGCTTCACTTTTGGATGTTTTTGTTATGATTAATGCTGCAAAAACAATACATTTGAGACAGAAACTTAAGTCTTAAGTTACAATATCCCAATTTGGTGCTACAGAAGCAAACCTAGCTAACTTCATCAGGAAACCCTAAATACTCAATCTAACATCGCTTATGCAGTTTTATGACGGTTACTTAGCAACAGATACTATTTTTCTCATCTTACCGAGCTAAAGGACTTTTTAAATATTGGTTTTCTCAGTGAAACTTACAAAAAAAGGAACAAAACTATGATTGGAAATGAACATCCTTGTAATGCGTGAACTAGTAAGATTCCCCACAAGTAGAAAAGTAAACACGTGTGTGTGTGTGTGTGTGTGTGTGTGTGTGTGTGTGTGTGTGAGCATACTGAAGAGTTAGAGCAGGGGCTCCAAACTGCCGGCATCCAGCCCACGACATAATGTCAAAAAATATATAATATAACATTTTATAAACATTTTCAACATTTTACCTGTATATAAACTGCCCCCTATATACAGTTAAAATAAAAACACATTTCAGTTGGCACAAAATAATCAAAGATGCCAGGTGTTGATAAGAAGAGAAGGTTTCAGGCTTTTACTTGTTGTAAACTGCTGTTTGTATTTTTGCAAGTAATGGAAATATTTTCAGAATATTGTGCTTTCTAGTAGCACTTGACTGTTAAAGAGGCTCTCCTATGAGCAGTGGCCCCAAGCCAATCTGAATTTGAGAGCCCTGAGTCAGAGGTCTGTGGAGAAATCCAAAGATGTTCTTTTAAGGAAACGTATTTAAAACAACGGCAATATGGGAGATAAAAAAGAGAGAAAATGGGTGTCAGTTCCAGCTGACGACATTTTGTTGGTTGCGTAAAAGCAATAAAATAAAAAACAGCCTTACAGATTACACAACACTATTTGGTGGAAGTTAGGAGAGTTTATTTTTGTTTTGGGAAGTTGCTTGTGTAACACACTCTTACTATATGTATGGATAAGAACAACAGGAACTGTTGATCAACCTAAATCAGACCCTAACTCTAATGGTTACCAAACAGTTAAGATAGGAATGTTTGGCACCTGGACCTTTACCTGGAATGTGAGGACATTTTTAATTGTGAGGACATTGTCCGGTCTTCAAATGGCTGTTTTAGGATTAAGATCTTGTTTTAGTGTTGAGGTTACATTAGGTTAGAGTAGAGTCCCCACAAGTACAAAATTAGAAATTTACATGTGAGCATACTGTGCGTCATAAGGAATAGAGGGATCACTGTGTGACTCAGTTGTGGATTTAAACCAGTATTTTATTGCTAAGCCAGTCATTTGTTGCTGCTTGTTTTATGTGACTCATTAACAGTCAGCATGTTGTTTTATTGACTGACAGCAAAAACAAATTTGGATAATGAATATATTATATAAAATATTCTCTTCACATTCCTCGAATTGTTCTCTAAAACTGTGTTGTCTTTCCAGAAACACCTAAACAGTAAAATGTTTAAATTAGAGTTTATATAATTACCCCAACAAGAAATAATTAGCAACTATTTTGATCATCGATACATTTTTCAAGTCAAATCTTACATTTTAAGAATTTGCTGTTCTTTGTCTTATGTGATAACAAAATGAATATCTTTAGCTGAGAAAACAATCAACATGAGATTCATTTGGTAGCTGTTTTGGAGCTTTCGATCATACCACATGATCTTTATAAGCAGATAGGGTTTGTCCAGTTATCATGAAATTATAGATGTTTAAATTTCCATTTTCTTTTTGAGCACTTTAAAGACCTCTCATCCATGTTGGCTTAAAGGTCCATATAATATTCATAGGTGTTCTCATTCATGAAAAATAAGCCACTTGCAGGTTACTTTGTTAATATGGAGAACATTTTTTTTTTTTTTGCTACAACAAGTAAACAGCATATCTGTTTTGGGCGTGTGTGTTGCCATTGTGTAGGACGGAGTTCATGTTATGTTTTTCTGTTTATGTTCATTAGTTAGGGCCTCGCATGCCAAGGGCCTCACATGCCAGTTCCCTCAGGGCCTGGTACCCAGCTCTATTAACTCTTCCAGCTCCTGAAGTTGCCCTTCAGGTTTTGGAGATCAGAGATCATTGGCAGGATACTTTTAATTTCAGGCAGACGTCCAACAGCCGCAAGCAGCAACATTACCTGTGTTTGAACATATTGCAATGCTGTTGCAACTGAGGTTGCTGATACAACTTGTCAGTCCAAACAAGTGGAGTTTCACAGAAACCTTCCTCAAGAGAAGTTTATTCAACTCTAACCTCTGTACAATATTCTAATAATACGACATATATGAATTAGCTGATAGATTGTGTTTTTGTTGGTCCTGTGATAACAAGAGTTGAGTTTGTGTTTCATGACTGACTGGTGTTCCCTTCTCTTTCCAGACCAGATCGAGTTGAACCACAAGGACCTGCGCTGGGTGGGAGCCTGGTGGCTTGGCTTCCTGGTGGCGTCCTGCTTCCTCTTCCTTACTGCACTGCCTTACTTATTCTTCCCCAGAAACATGCCCAAAGAGGTGAGCAGAAACAGTCCTACCTGAGCTAAAGCAGCAGCAATGATCCCCTCTTTTAATAAAGTCTACTTTTCAAGACTCAATGAAACTTGACGACAATGTTCTAACTACTAACTTTGAATATTGCCGCCTGGTCAGTGGTCTTCCGTATAAAGAAGAGTAAATATGCCAAGTCCTGTTAGACTATCAAAATAAAGCTTGCATGGTTAACGTTGTGAAACAGCTGCAGCTTGGTTAGGTTTAGAAAAAGGACGTTCATGATGTGCACCAAAATGTTTGAGGGGACATTTTAATGGCATTCTGGCTCCTCACAGAACTGTTCATCTACATGCATACAGCCTATTAATGTCAAATTTAAATTTGTTGTTGTGGTTGATAATTATGAATTGTTTGTGCGACAAACATTTTCTACCTCTTCTTTTAATAGGCTAATACAAAAAGATGAATTCTTTGTAAAATAATATAAATTCTACTTGATTTTAACTGTTATTTATTGGCTCTGGCTAAATTAGAGAAAGACCAGTTTGTTTCTTGTTAGCAGCCTGTATGAGTTTCGTACTACTATATGGAGGCTGGTACGCTCATTTACACCCATTAATTCAATTCAATTCAATTCAATTCAATTTTATTTATATAGCGCCAATTCATAACAGAAGTTATCTCAGGACACTTGAGAGAGACAGAGAGACAGACAGACAGACAGACAGACAGACAGAGGTTCACAGCAACAACAATAGCAACAACTACACTAATAGTAATATTAGGATACACTATAATGGAAATAAACCTGCCAGCCAGCCAACATGTGTCAAAACCTGAATCAAATCGATTCACAATAAAAACTTCCTGCTGGGAAACCTATCCCACGGTATAAGCTGGCGTAATGTGTGAACTCTCTGCTCACTGGGGTTTACTGATGTGTTTATTGCTTGATTCAAACAAAGCTTGCGATGGCAGCAGCCTATGTGACGACAGCTTATCTCAGTTATACCCACTGATGTGATAAAGATCAGCTGGGGTTAAACTTCTACACATGATGAGGGGAGAGTTTTGTTTGATGTTTGGAAATGAACAGCAGGAAATGAGCCTGAGAGGGTTGGCTAAAATTATCTGTAATTGTGTTGCTGGCAAAAACAGAGTCAGCGTTACAAGTTGAAGGTAGAAGCAGCCACAGTTTACCGACCTGCACAATCCTCTGTTGTTTTATTAAACTGCATCAAATACACAAAGTGACAGAAGATGGTGGGATTCATATAATAGTGCAGCACAAGAGACAGCCTAAAGATGTAAATAAGGGGAAGAACTTAAAAATGAATTTCTCCTATTTGCCTTTGTTCTCCGCTTCCCTACAGTGTCAACAGTGTGCAACGCTAGCTAATGTTAGCTTATAAATGGAGTCTGCTAACGTCTACAAAGTCCAACACAGAGTCCAAAGTCAAAGGTCATATTACTGCTAAGCTTGTGGAACATATTGTCTGATTGGGCTTTTAGCTGGATAACGTTAGCTTGACTGTTAACACGGACAAATTCCTAGTTAGCTAATGTAGCAAAATACTGTCAGCTAGCTTCATCCAGACTCGTTAGCTTGCTTGCTCACTGACATTATTTTCTAGTAAAATACTATTTGAGTAGCTTCCCAGCTAACGTATGTATTCTGACAATCGGTGTTGATTTTAGCCAACAATAAATTATGTAACAGGGGCATCCAGCTAACTGTAGCTAAGCTAAGCTGGGGTTGTCCACCTGGCTGTGTCTTGGCGTTGCGGTGTGGGTCTGGTGTTGGTGTGGGTCTGGTGTTGGTGTGTGGGTCTGGTGTGGGTCTGGCGTTGCGGTGTGGGTCTGGTGTTGCGGTGTGGGTCTGGTGTGGGTCTGGTGTTGCGGTGTGGGTCTGGTGTTGCGGTGTGGGTCTGGTGTGGGTCTGGTGTTGCGGTGTGGGTCTGGCGTTGCGGTGTGGGTCTGGTGTGGGTCTGGCGTTGCGGTGTGGGTCTGGCGTTGCGGTGTTAACGTTGCAGATAGTAACGTTATTCTAAATATCAGACTTCTTCAGGTGGACATAAACAGCTCCAGTTGGATGATTATATCTGTTGGATGGGTTAATAAATAACTGTTCTCTATAGAAAGAAAGATAAGAAAACACATATGAAGGACAGGACTGGATTACCAATACAACACGTTCAGTGTGTCACTTTTGGTAATTTGATTACATTTGGTTGACATAGTGCATGTTTCTAAATGAAATTTAGGTTTGAACATATAATCACAAACAGGACGTAAGGGCTTGTTTTGGCCATAGTGAAGGACATATTGTTTTTATTAAGTATGTTGGAAATATCCAAATGTCATTATGAAGCATAATAAAGTTGTCAGAGATAATTGAGATGAACAAGCTCCAACAGGAATCTGTGTGATTTGGCTCAGTCCCCAAGAGAAAGTTAAAGAAAGTTACAAATATGAATTGCTCAACAGAGCTTCATCTGAAATGACTCATGAGTGCCAAAACAGCAAACTGCAGCCAAACATTCCATTTTAAAGACATTGACTCAGAGGTTTGCCTTCACAGCAAGGATGGGTATTTCAGCACCTTTCGTACCACGAGTGCCGGGCACACTAATGGCTTTTGCGACTGGGTGAAAGTAAAGGCTATGGACCGGATTGGTTTGGTTAGATTTAGGCACAAAAACTCTTTCCTTGGGTTCAGGAATACACTTGTGGTTTTTGTCTACATTGATTTCTAAGACCCGTCCTACTCTGCCTCTGATTGGTTGGTGTCCATTGCCTTCATTGATTTAGTTGGTTAGGTTTATACATGATGAAAAAATGTGAAAATGCACCAAAAATATCCAGATTAAATCAGTTTAAAATACGGTAAAAGTAATAGTTGTTAGGGTTGTGCTGAATTCACCAGCACCTTTTTTGACTTTTTTTGTCCAATTCAGGCACTGGTTACATAACTTTTGTGAAATCAGTAGTTTAAGTAAATTGTTTACTTGTAAATTGTATCTACACCAAATCTCTACAGGTTAATGTCTTTCATGTCTCTGAATTGCAGCTTTCCAACCATACAGCTGCTACTTTTGACCTATTTTTCTTAGATAACAAATTCCACACAATGGCATTTTGATCCTAGTCTTTTTGTCAGATAATAGAGATAGTCTCTAAATTCCAGAGAGTTGAATGTGGTTTTCTTGCTGTCATTTAACAAAATAATGATGTAAAAATAACTTTAAACTCAAATGATAGGTGCCATGAAGACTCAGTTTTAACATTCTCACTAAGAAATCTGTCTCATGTGCTTTTAAAATCGAAAGTAACTCTGAGGTTTGGTTGCTGAATACAACTCTGGACTTTGGCTGCCCTTGAGTTTGTGTGCAGAGATTCATATCAGAACAGTGTGTTGAGCAATTCTAAAAACTGATTTATTTACATTACATTTGGTGTTTTATTATTTGTTTTAAGACTTTATTAACAGCCACAGACATGCTTTTAACATTGTTGGAAACATTTGGGATAATGTAAGCACACAACTCGACCACATATACAACATAGCTCTACTGTATAGACATTACAGAAATCTTACAGATTATAGCTTTAACACAGGCATTTAGTGAATCATCTCCAGGAGCCGCGATGAAGCAAGATTCTTCACCACTAAGGATGAGCCCAAACATGCTGTCATCCGTCAGGGTTGGAATGTAGATGGACTGATAAACCAAGAGAAAACAACAAACAAAAGGAAAACCTGATAATATTTTTTCTCAAACCACCATGGCCACCTCTGAGCATCTGATTAAAAGTGCTATGCCCATGCATGTCTTATGTCAGCTTTAAAATCTAAGCCAAAACTCGCTGAGACGTCTGCACTGACACAGACAGCCCCTTAAAGTGACTCGTGAATGTAAACCATTCTAGCATGCAGGCGGGGGGGGGGTTCTAAAAGTGGTTCTGAAACCTGCAATCCAGCATCTGACATTCTGCCTTTATATTTGTCCAGGACGGTGCAGACGATGTCGAGTCCAGACCGGACTGTAAGCAGCAGCAGACTAACCCGCTGCAGGAACTCTCCCTTCTTCAGTTCCTCAAAAGTATGAGACTTCTTTTCTTCTTCTGTTTCCTGTCTGATGTGGCTGCAGTGGAGGCAACCATAGGGCATCCGCTGTGAACAGGGGTCACTGTGTGTTAGCATCAGCTCTAAATCAAAGGCTCCACAGCTGCTTTTGATGTCTGTGTTTTAAGATTTGTGGTAATTGGCTTCAAAACTTCTTTAAATTTCAATTCATCATCAGTTGGTAATTGAAAATAAAAGATAATTTCACCCAAATTATAATAATTTCACTTTCTAGCAGAATCTGTCAGTTTATTGGCCCAAGTTGTGAGATATTTGTCTCTTCCTGCTTACATTTGTGGTTCTCACAGCAGAAGGAAAACTCAACATCTCTTTCCAGGAACAGTGTCCCTGTTATTCTGGATCATCTATACATCCCACTGGCACTGTTTCTTCAATATAATGTTCCCCCCATGAGTACACAACAAGATTTGTAGATTGTGTAACTGGAAAATTGTTACTGGAAAGACAAAATTGTATTGATTGAATTTGAATTCTCTTTAATTCTTTGAATCGTTGAGGTATCCAGAAATGCTAAATATTGTGCTGTGAAATTTGGGTGTCTCTGTCCATCTGAGCTCATCAGCTGTACTGTCTGCCTCTGCCCCTCAGGTTTTCCTCGTATTGCTCTGCGAACGCTGCGGAGCCCCATCTACCTGCTGGTGGTTCTGGCCCAGGTCAACCTGGCGGCGCTGCTGGCCGGCCTCGCCACCTTCATGGCCAAGTTCATTGAGAGACAATTCAGCCAGACTGTCTCCTTTTCCACCATGATGATAGGTGAGAGTGCACTCGGGTTCAGTGGAGTCCATCACCTGTGCATGTGTTTATAATAATAGCAGGTATACTAGTATCGAACTGAAGTAATAAGTTAACAGGGAGAAGTTGTAAGCAAAGGATTATTTGGTGTTTCAGGAGGAATCTGTATCCCGATGGCAGTGCTGGGCACCGTCCTGGGTGGAGTTCTGATGCGGAGACTGAATATTTCAGTCAGCGGTGCCAGCAAGTTGTGCACCATTGCCATCCTGCTCTGCTTGTTCTCGTCCACGCCGCTGTTGCTCATTGGCTGCCCCACCCAGAAGGTTGCCGGGGTCTTTCCTAACAGGTAGCTACAGTTCACACAGTCCACAGACCCTGGGGAACTAATTTCACCAGTCACTGCTGAAAAATTACAAATAGAAAAAAAATTTGACCACTAAGAGGAAACTGATTTCATTGCTGACTGGGAACCATTTATCCCACCGGAAAGCAACTAATTTCACAGCTAAAGGGGAAATAATCGAATTTCTGGCTGTGAACTAATTTCACGGCTGATATAAAATGACTAATCAGGAACCAATTTGACCGTTGTCAAGGAACTAATTTCACAGCTGAAAGGGAACTGATCTTATTCATTTTACTTACTAATTTCACTGCTGACTGACAATTAATTACCTGCAGGGAACTAATTTCATTGACGGAGATTTTTCAGCCATTGTTAAGGGATTAGACTGAAGCAGAATTAACATGACATTGGGGGCCGTTCTCCTTCTCTGTAAGGCTGAAGTTTGAGTGAAATTGAGCAAAACTGAACAAAACATTTGGGTAACACTTTATAATGAGTACACACTATTAAGCATTAGTTAAGCATGAATAAATACTGAATTCATCATTTATAACACATGAATACACATTAGTATGTAGTTTATAAACACAGTTAAAAATGTTTTATTCATCATTGATAAGCACATTAGTTATGGATTAGTAAATACTGAATTCATCATTTATAAAGCATGATTCTGCTGTAAATAGTCATTACTATGTGGTTTATAAACACAGTTATAAATGTTTTACTCTTCATTGTACTGTACATTTCTGCATGCACTTGCACATCCACTATTCAGACATGTATCAATGATTAGTGACTGTGTTAGCAGATGTTCTATAAAAACTCACAACAAATTCATTTTCTAATGATGGCCTATAAACAGTGATTAATGCAGGAATTCACAGTTACAAAGCACTTACTACTTGTTAATTAAGTATTTTGCACGAGCTTATCTAAAGTGAGCACTATCTATGGCTTATTAAGCATTTACAAATGAGATATAAAGGCTGACAATTCCTCGAGACTGACAAAATGTTCAGTTATCTTAACAGACGAAGGAGAGACACAACACTACACTTACTACACGTGTGTAAATGTGTGTGTGTGTGTGTGTGTGTGTGTGTGTGTGTGTTTTCAGCTCTGGTGGGTCGTGCAGCTCCGTCTGTCAGTGTCCTAAGGAGGCGTTTAACCCAGTCTGCGGTTCGGATGGCGTGGAGTTCAGGTCTCCATGCCACGCCGGCTGTAGGGCCGCAGAGAAAGACAACGACGCCAAAGTCACAGTAAGAATTGTTTTATGAGTTTATTTTGAAATGATCCCGCTGTCACACACATCCTGACGAATACAGAACTTCATCCAGATTCACTGTTAAGCGTGCAGTAACAGTCAGCGCTGTATTTGTGAGAGCTTATGGTTCTCGTTAAAGAGGATGACGTCACATATTATCTTCTGGTGAATACTCTTGTTTTACTTGGACGCTGCGTTTATCTTCTCATCTGCTGTCAGAAGGAAATTAATATAATCTGTTGTATCTCACAGTTTGGTTTCATTCTACTTTTTATTCCGCCAACGCCCCTTTCTGTGGAAGTGGTCTCTTGTAACAACAGACAGCATTAATACACAAAGTGAAAGCCAAACCGAGAGAGAGAGAGAGAGAGAGAGAGAGAACTGAAAGCTGCTGGATAGCTGGGGTAAAGTTCACAGAACTAGATAGACTGAAAAGTCACTTCCTCTTAGTTTCATTAGTAATCTTTAGATTCGCTGAAGCGTTGGTTATTTTAGTTTCATGTTGGCAGCAATTCTATATTTTTAATAATGAAAATGAAAGTACAAACTGGATTTCTGACTTTGGAGAAGTGACCAGATTAGCAATAGTGACATCATGTCCAGATGTTTACAGCAGCTCCAGAGGAATTTGTTTGATTGTTCTATGGAGGGTTTCACATCAGGGACCCGGGTCTGGATAACTTCTACATTACTCCACAGACCTGGAAGCTCTGTCCATTATAAATACTGTCAGTGGTTTAAACCTCACAGATAAAATAAGTGTTGTTATTGTCGATCTGCCATTTTTATTCAGAGGAACAGTTTGTGGAAAAGTTAGAAAGGGACCAGAAAGTTTTTCTCAAGAAGTGTCAGTGGGATGAAATCAGTCTCTCTCTATTCATTTCACTTTTCTCCAACATGGTTCCTGGAACTGAAAGTGATGAGTTACAAAGCAGGTTAACCCAAGGAGTGACACACTCCTCATCTACAATCTGTGACGTGAGATTACTCAGAAGAACTTCACCAACATCCACTTTTGTTCCAAAGGAGGAAGAAGCTTCAGTTGTCTGTACTTCCTCTTCCTCTCTGCTCAGTTTTCATTATCCATTAATCTGCTGACCATCTTCATGATTATAACATCATAATCAGATCCAGATTTACCCCCATCTTTTCAATATGACGCTGTTGGTCTCCCTCTGCTGAGCTCTGCAGTAAAGTTAGCAACAATAAATATGCAACGTCCGGTTAGAATTTCAAAATAAAGCTTGTGTGGTTAGCAGCTGCAGTTTGGTTGAGTCACAAAAACTACTTGGTTTGTAGTAAAATGTAATCCGATTCACTTACCTGGACCCACCACTTCTTGATTTTAAGGCGTGCTAGACAACTTAGAAAATATACACAGTAGGCCTGTATCTCAGCATTTGTGTTTTATGAAGGAAAGTAAATGAAATGTGAAGTCATTTGTAAGGTAAAGTGTCAGGGACAAGAAAACACTGAGAAATACATAATTCAGACTAAAGACGGACAAAATATGTCACTGAGTCAGTTTAATAAATGATAGAAAGGGGGTCTCTTAATGAAAAAGGTTGGGTACTTCTTCTGTTGGGGGCGCTGTCTCTGCCTGTATCCTGACTGTGTCTGTTGTTGTAGAACTACACTGAGTGTCGGTGTGTCGGTGGTCTCGGCTTTGCGTCTCCGGGAACGTGCGGCAGCGGATGTTCCCACCTCCTGCCCCCCTTCATGGCCCTGCTGGGCATCACCGCCTTCATCGCCGCCTTCTCACAGACCCCCTCCTACATCATGATACTCAGGTATGAACAGAAACGTGTGTGATCTGTAAAATGTAAGATAATACATAATGTGTGTGAGGATGTGTGCTAGCATCGGTGGCACTGAGAGCTCAACAGACTTCAGAAAACACATGAAAATGAAGAAAACACCAATCATTTGCCAACGAATACAGAAACTCTGCAGATCACACAGAACGGAAATGATTTATTTAAATTCACTTAAAACTCATTTAAGTTAAACTCAGTGAGTCCTGCATCTTCTGCTTCTGTTTACTATATTTGTGTTTTAGCACTTTAATGCACATGCTGTCAAGTTGATGAAGTTTTCTTCATTGTATTGAGCTCTCTGGACCACCGTAGTATTATTGCCTCCAGTATTTGGTTGTTATTTATTGTTTTAGCTCTGAACCCAGTAAACCAGTTAGAAACATGCAGTTTTCAATGTGCTGCAGATGCACAAAGAACAATGGAGGAGCTGCTCACAGCTGCAGATCATTAAAATAAGTTCCAGATGGTTGTGAAAGAGCTCTGGCTCCACTTGGGATTGTTTGAAATTAGAGTCAGAGAAGGTTTTATTTTTGTCCTTTAGAGAAACTAGACTGAGCTTTCAGAGAGACTCTCCTGATCCTCAGCTGCTGTCTCACCTGTTCCCGGCTGTCACAGTTTCTCCTGGTGTTCCGGACCTGTCAGTTTCCTCCAGTCCCCATTACGATGTTAGACTGAAAATATGAGCTTCAAGTTTAATGTCAGGTTGAAAAAGGTTCAAACCAGCTTCTCAGAGTCTGAGGTGATGTCTTGAAATGTCTTGGTTTGTCCAAAACCCAAAAGACAGAGAGAAGCATGAAATCTCCCTCACTTGTGCCATTTTTGCAGGAAAAATAACTTTAACGATTAATGGATCATCAATGTAGTTGCTGATTATTTTACTATTCAATCGATTTTTAACACCATATGACGCCGGAGCTGCGCTTTTCAAATGTTGTAGTTCCAACAAGGCCTGAAAACCTCTAATCTTTTAATCCTGGAGCTCTATATTCACCAAATTTAAAGTTGCTCCGATCAATTCCCTAACACGTGGAAATGGCAACAATGGCGCCAGAATCAGATATTAAATAAAAAATGGCTGACTTCCTGTTGGGTTTAGGATGTGGCTCCAAGAGGCTTCTTTGTACATCTCGACACGATACATGTGCCTACTGATTTTCATACATACCGGTGAAACCGAGTGCCGGGGCTGCTTTTTTTAAAATGAGCTATTGAGTTTAGTTAGTTCAAAACCCAAAAGACATTCAGTTTAAGATAAAACAGGGAAAAGCATGACATTTTTTTGCATGAAAACAGACATTAATCGATTATCAAAGCAGTTTGCGATTATTTTTCATCAACATCTTTAGCTTATTTCTCAGCAGGAAAATGTTAAATACTCAGCTTCCTGCAGTTTAAGCCCATGTTGTATAGAAAGATGTTTCATTGTATTTCTACCATTAAACAGACATTACAACGAGCACTGTTGGCATCTTTCACACACACTCTGGACTGTTTCTCCACCATCCCGTTTTAGCCTAGCCTAGTTTCAGTTAGCAGCTCCTGTTTGCAGTGCACTCAGGGAACCATGGATCACTGGATGAAAACTTAAAAACACGATGATTCTCAGGCAGTTCTGCAGCTTTGATTCTGTAAAACCGCTGAACCAGAACAACTGAAACAACAGCAGAAACAGAAGTCTGACATAATACAATGCCTGTATGTTGACATAGTAACTGTCAACTGTCATCATCTGCAGCATTCCTGTACCTTCCTCCTCTATCTTCCTCCTCTACCTTCCTCCTCTACCTCAGCTCTGTTTCAGCCTGTCACCAAAGCAAACACACAGAGAATAAACACTGTCAACGTCTTTCTCATGAACGTGATGTCTGTGTCTCTGCTGCAGGACGGTGCCCACGGAGGACAAGTCTTTTGCTGTGGGAGTTCAGTACATGCTGTTCAGAGTGCTCGGTGAGTCACATATTTCCCTCAGTACCTTGAGCAAGGCATCTTCAGTCTTTAAAGTGACAGATTCTACGGACTGTGTACAGAGAGCGAGCAACAAGACGCTGACTGCAGTTCACTGAACGACCACTGGTGGATCTGTTAGCGACAGATCTCTTTATATTCCATTGTTAGGATTGGCTAGGAATGTCTGTTATTGGAAAAGGTCTTGTGTCAGCTGCTTACAAGGTTACATCCTTTCATCCATCATGAATCTGTGTGTGTGTGTGTGTGTGTTAGCGTTCATGCCTGGCCCGGTGCTGTACGGCAGTGTCATCGACTCCACTTGCATCCTGTGGGGTAAAAAGTGCGGTAAACAGACTTCCTGTCTGTACTACAATCTGGACCGCTTCAGACAGAGGTGAGTCACACAAACACACCTGAAGCCCCGTTCACACTGGGTTGATTTCTCTGGAGGGGGGGGGTTTAATATTACTGAACACTGTTCGGATCAGATCGGATTTTGATATAAAAATACAAAGAAATGTAGTTTTTGTATACATTGTTTACACCTTTTGTCATTAGGAATCTTTCTTTCTGTCTTTGTGTTGGAGATGTGAAAACTGCATTTATGAGCACAAAAACCAGTTGTGTCTGAGTCTGAAGTCATAGTGATACTGAAGTAACAGCTTTTTGTGGTTTCCACCCTGGAAAGTCATGTGTCGTTAGATGTTAGCTTGGACCTGCGCCCCAAACCCCAACATAACAAAGTCCATGAAAACCTGTGTGTGTCTGTGTGTGCAGGTTTCTGGGCATGCAGGTGGTCTTCGTGTGCGGGGGGCTGCTCTGCTTCCTGCTGACCGTCGTGGTCCTGCGCAGGAGGGCCAGGAGTCAGGAACCGCAGCCGGAGGGCAAAGGAGGGTATGAGCTGGTGAACGGGGAGAAAACACCGGAGATTGCTTCGTCCAAAGAGAAAGAAGCGAACGGCATCAAGACCTGAAGGAAAACGCAACGAGAGGACGCGAAGAAGGAAAGACTCAGAGAGGCTGAACGAGAAGCTGCGATGGTACCAAAGCAGTGTGTCACGTGCCGTATAACGAGGCTAAGATTAATTTGCTTACATCCAATACAAATATTACATTCTTTGCTAACATTTCCAGTGGTGGAAGAAGTATTCAAAGGTTCCATATGTAAGATTTTGATGTATTTTATGTGTCAGTGTGTGAGCAGACAGTGAACAGGTTGTAGTGGAGCTTTGTTCCTCTGCTGCCTGTGGACTGATCTCTATGTGTCTCTATGTAGGATGAGGGTCAAAGGTTGTGACCTTTATGCTCCAGAGTGCCAACAGTGGGCAACACAGAGTCCAACACAGAGTCCAACACAGAGTCCACAACACAGAGTCCACAACACAGAGTCCAACACAGAGTCCACAACACAGAGTCCAACACAGAGTCCAACACAGAGTCCAACACAGAGTCCACAACACAGAGTCCAACCCAGAGTCCAACACAGAGTCCACAACACAGAGTCCACAACACAGAGTCCACAACACAGAGTCCAACACAGAGTCCACAACAGAGAGTCCAACACAGAGTCCACAACACAGAGTCCACAACAGAGTCCAACACAGAGTCCAACACAGAGTCCACAACACAGAGTCCAACACAGAGTCCACAACACAGAGTCCACAACACAGAGTCCACAACACAGAGTCCAACACAGAGTCCAACACAGAGTCCAACAGAGTCCACAACACAGAGTCCAACACAGAGTCCAACACAGAGTCCACAACACAGAGTCCAACACAGAGTCCAACACAGAGTCCAACACAGAGTCCAACACAGAGTCCACAACACAGAGTCCAAAGTCAAAGCTAACATTACTGCTAAGCTAGTGGAACATATTGTCTGATTGCGCTGTTAGCTGGATAATGTTAGTTGATTGTTAATGCGGACACATTGTTAGCAGCTCCACTGCTGATCCGTTTGTAGGTCACTTTGTCGGCTGGCGTTGCAGGTTGCAGCTGGCTGGCTAATGTTAGCTTACTTGCTTGCTAACATTATCACTAGCAGCATACTAGCCTATCTGAGTGGATATGTTAGTTAGCTAACTTAATCTTCCCCAGCTAACGTGATCCATAATACCAATTTACGTATTATGTCATTTATTTTCCAGCGTTTGGTCAGTTTGTCTCTTTTGGCCGACGCCCAGGATAATGCTCACAACAGGATGTTGACTGCAGTACACTTATTGGCCTCTGGTGGCGCTGTTTAACAACAGTTTAATGAAAGTAACATATAGAACCTTTAAGGATAAAAAACAGCAACCACAGTGTAGAAATACTCATTGTGCTAAATGAGCCATTTCACAATTAATACATCAAATAATTGGATTATAATTATTGATACTGTGAAAGTGTTACTTTCCTGTTGCAGCTCATTTTAACCATGTTATACACTACTAGCTTCATCTATTAATCTGAATATATGAATCTAAATCTGATAAATGTCGTTCAGTAAAAAGTACAATATGCCTCAAAAATTGTAAATACACTTTTTTTACTTTTCACTACTGAACATTTCCACTGTGATTACTGTTCGTACATAAGCTGATGCGTATATTGTGTGATACATTCTGTACACTTTATATGACGCAGTGAGCCCAAACAGTTCAATCTGGTGCTGAAGGTGAATAATAAGCTGCACTTCCTCTAACAAACACTCCCAACTTCTGTACTAAGTCAGTAGAGAAGTCAGTCTAAGTCAGGACACTGTGATCTGTGGGGCTGATTTTAATCACTCTAATTATCTGTAGCCAATCAGACGAAAAAAAATAGATAAAATAAATGAATCTTATGGAAGTCGGACTCAGTTTTTGTTTTGTCTGCTGCAGTTTGTTTTGTAATTGCTGATTTCTTTTGTATTTTTTTTTACACATATTAAAAATACTTAAAAAACAATCATATATTTTAAAGCGATAAAAATTTATAAAAACATATTTTATCTGATTTATTTTGATCGGATGTGTGTTTTGATCATTGTTTATACTGACGGACTGCAGCAGTTTAAATAAATCAGAAAAATCCAGCTTACAGAAAGTTTTATAAGAATGTGTTTTTACTGTCATATATTTGTGTTTTCTCTTTATTCAAATGTCTCGGAGCTACTTTGCTGAATGTTTGTTGTTTTTGTTGCTTTATTTTGTAAATTCTTCACTATTGTTTGTTTTATAAATATGTTTTTTAATGTTGTATAAAATGTAGTTAAACTGTACAACTGAGCCACGTTGTGCACAAAAATAAGAAAAACAATAAACTTTATACCTTTTGGTACGTCAGGTGTTGCTGATTAAAAATGAATTGTATTTATATAAAGAGGCTAATTATTAATTATTAGTTAATTATGTTAGCATGTAGTTCTGTTTGCCTTCTTCACTGAACTTTCCTTAGGTTAAACTCACTACTTTTTTAACTGAAGTTCAATCAACTCATTAAATTAACTGCCTAAAGAAACATGATCAGCATATTTAGCAGCATATAGCATATGATGGAAACTTGCTGTGTTTCTCTAATACACTTTAAGATGATTAATGGAGCAGTTTCACACGTTGTCTTTGTGCCAATTGCTGGAACAAAGTAGTAATAATAATAATAAGAAGAAGAATTTTATTTGTACGGAGCCCCTAAAGGGACATGGAAAAAAAATGAATAAATGAAACGTTTCTAGTGCGCACTAGATAGTATCTAGTGCTCACTAGATACTATCTTGTGCGCACTAGATCTGTTTCTAGTGCTCACTAGATACTATCTTGTGCGCACTAGATCTGTTTCTAGTGCACACTAGATATGGATGGAGTGTTGTGGTGAATCAACACATGGCTCATTTGAATATTAAAATTAACCATGTGTTGATAGGTCACAACACGAAAATGTAACCAATGAAATTACTTATTTTGACACACATTTTAAGCCAATAAGTATTAAACTAACAAGGTAATGTGTCAAAAGGCAGAATGTTTTTGTTATTTTCTCAAAAGGAGGACAAATGAGTATCTGGCTGCAGGACAGGGCATTTAAAAGCGGACTGTAACAAAAGAGGTTACAGATTAATTTACATTTATTTTTTAGTTACAGACAAATTAGTTTAATACTCGTTTGAATATAAAAATTAGCCATGTGTTGATTCGCCACAACACTAATGTATCTAGTGCGCACAAGATAGTATCTGTCGTTTAATTTTTTTTTTTCCCCATGTCCCCCATGTCCCTTTAGGGGCTCCGTATATTTGTATACCACTTTTAAAAAAAAACTATGTTTACTAAGTGCTTTACATACACACAAAACCAGCAGCAATAAAGAATGACAGTTTATAAAAAGAAAAGAAGGATTAAGAGGAGTATATGAGGTCAACAGAATCAAACTCACACAACAATCAGAGATATTAAACTGAAAACACAACACACACAATAACGCGTGCTGAAATAAAATTTTTAAAAATAATTAAAAACTGAAATAAATGACAGAAAATATTGTGTTAATTGAAATAAAAGCCTGATTATAAATTTTTTTTTTGCAATTTTTTTGCAAATTTCACAGCCACCACAGTATCTCTGACACACTTCGAAGGCGAGTGGTATTCAGTTGGTTTTAATAACACTGCAGGGGGAAAAAAGTGGAGGAAACTATGTTATAATGTTTTAAAATAAACTAATAATGATTTATGATAATTTACTTTTCTTCTTTAAATTATGAATTTCCTCAACTTCTCTTTCTTGCAGTGTACCACTTTCTTTGGTTTGAAGCGTCTTAAATTCCTCTGATAGTGTGTCCTGGAAGGAAATTGTGACCCGCTGACAGATTTATTCAGACTGAAGAGCCACATACAAAGACTGTACATCGTTCCTGAGCTCTGACACACAGAGACAAGTCCAGACAGCAACTTTAAAGTCACTGTCGGTAGAAAAATTGTGCCCGCTCTGCGGCAGCTCAAACTCCTCAACTTGTTTTCTGTTGCAGGCTCAAACACGTCGACTGCTCACACTAACTGTCAGTCTGTGACCTCGATGTGCCAAACTCTGAAATGCTCCAGTGCTACGACACACAATACGCTGACAACTCACCTTTAATACTCCGAGCTCACTGATACAGCAGCTGCACTCGTCTCGCCACAGAAATCTGATTTCCTTAGCTCCTGGAAACAAGAAACAGCAGCTATTTAACATTTCAACCATAAAGATTTAACAAATAGTTTATAATGTTGAGGATTGAGGGCTGATTTGGAAACAGTTTTAATGGATCAATAACAGCTAAAATAAAGCTGATCAATATCTGATCCTTTCTGCATGACCCTAACACGACCTTGACTTTAATTCTGTTGGTGTTTTTATCCATTAAGAAATGTTGTTTCGTTTTAACTTTACAAGTAAATGGTCTGAGTTTCACGCTCCTGCAGATCGTTCTGGCTATTGAGAACTGTCAATAAAGTTTAATTTGAACACTCAGAACACTCACTTTGTATAACAGCATCATGATCATCTGTGCGATTGTGGAAAGTTCTAAAACAGGAGACTCTCTGTTTGGCACGTTGCACATTCATCCGAGCATCCGATGGCCGTTCTGGAGCAGTTAGTTAGTGTTACTGTGTGTCTGTGGAATTTAACAACAGGAACAATCTCATTTCAGGATCATTAAACTCAAACAGTCATCATTCATTATGAACAAATGATGTAACGAGTTGACCAACAGAGACAGAAAACCGTTTGAAGGTCTGTTTCATCAGACAGACAGGAGTCTACTGCCACAACCGAACTCAGAGGAAGTGAGTTTGTTCTTTCAACAATTCCAGACTTTTATTTGTCACATAGACTCAGTAACGTTAGAAACATGAAGGCACAGCACAAAGAGACTGCATCCAGTCTCTTAATGAACCATTAAGGTAAGATAAGGGTGTAACATGAATTAAACCAAATTCAACCCGTAGCCAAAAGAACATGTCTATGAATATTATATTCCATTTCTGACAGTAGATCCTCCTCAATGTTGTGAAGAAAGTAAGAAAATTAAATAAATAGGTTACAAACTCACACTCAAACTCATACACAGCATGTTTTAATAATATAATAATAATAAACTTTATTATTATTATATTGGTTGGTCTGTGAGGGTTCAGGCTTCTTTAAATACCCCACTTCTTCCAGCAGACCTCTGACCCTCAGACCTCAGCAGGCTTCCTGTGTTTTTGTCATTCAGTCTGTTTCCTCCTGAATCTTAAGCAACACTGGTCACAGGTTCAAATCCCCACACTCATGTGGAAAGTGACAAAGGAGAGTTTGAGGAATATTTCATTTCATCATATTCCATCATTTCACTGGCTTTACTGACACACAGCTTCCTGTCCGAGCATCAACAACTACAAAGGTCATCTGGTCTCACCTGTAGTGAACTCTGCATGTATGATTTGAACTTTTATTCTGAAAATACCGCCGCTGCAGTGCTGAGGTTCAACTGATGATTTCATGACAAAAGAATCTGGTCTTACTGGTTTCTGTTGTGGAGACCTGAAGGTTTTTACTGAGTGTTTGTCTCCCTCTTGTGGAGACTGAGGTGTACAGAAACCTGACTGTTCAATAAAGGTAGTATTTGGAAATAAAAGCATTACAAGTCTTAAGGAGCCCAAAGCTAATGTAATATATATATTAATATAAGGCTTTGTCATCGTCACCCTTTTATTCTGTGGTGTTTGCAGATCTTGTGTATTTCCTTCCTGTATTAGTTATTTCTTATTTCTGCCCAAATGACTCAGAAAGTACTTAAATTGTACATTTTACATCAAAGTGTTTTTGTCATCTGAATGTTATTTCCTACTCGCCCTTCCAACAGTGGGCGGGTAGGCAGTGCTTCTTGTTGCTGCTATTTACATTCAACCAGACGCACATTCAAAAGATCACCTGCAGAATTATTTCCTGTATATATTGATATTAATAAGTGTATATATTGCTTTATTTTACTTTAATATACTTTATTGATTACTTATATGGTTGCATGAAGGAGCTACAAACTGTGATGCAGCTTTGTGTTGTACAGGATGAAGACATTTAATGTTGTATGGTTAAATTCTCTAAAATTCTGTGTCCTCTGAGAGTCCAACTCTTCTTCTTCTGTGTCTCTTTTTCCCATCTGTCAGTTCTGCCGGGCAGCATTTCAGAAACCTAACGAATCTCTGACCAAGGAAAATCAAGAACACGTGTGCACAAATGATCAGCTCTTCACATTCTTCTTTCTTTACTCAATCGATCAGACATTTCCTGTTTAGATCCTTGTTCTGTTCATTTTATACTCTTTTATTTCTTGTTTTGTGTCGATGCATTTAAAGTTTTCCTCACTGTGAGCAAAAGAATGTGTCAGTACTGAAGTATGGAAAATCAGTTTTGCCGTCAGTGACTGCCAACACTCGCTGTGCCAAAATATTCTTGTGCAGGAAGTGTTTCACATGTGGAGAAAGGATGAGAAACTGAGCAGCTGCTTCTGTGTCTGCTCACTGACTTCAGTCTGAGAACAAACACACGCCTGCAGGATAACTACTTTAATGTAGATACCTGGGATTTTTAAGGGTTGAGGATTAGAGCTGGTTATCTGACATCCAACTGTGTTATTTGCTCCCCCTGCTGGTTATAATGTGCGTATCTGATGTTAATGTGTCTATGTGCTGCTTTCTTTTAGCACCCGGTCTGTCCTGATTAGGAAAACAGAAACAGAAAACAGTAAACCTCATTCAAAATCCCATTGACATTTTTAATAACTAAATATAATATTATTAATAATAAATAATATTATAATAACTAAAAGTCCGACCAATATGACGTGTGGCTTGCTTCGTATGTTTGAAACAGGTTGGACTTATTGCCACACATGCAGAGTCGTTTCCAGACTTTATTGACTGAAAATCAGAAGTGACAGCACTCAGTAACAGTGAGTACCAGACCTCCATCCTCAAAGAATAAAACACAAAGACAAGGAGCAAAAGAAGTCTGCTTCTCAAGTCAAATAACAGCCACCTCCTCAATGAGGAGCACCTGCAGAGAGTGAGAAGAGAAAGGAGGGCAACAGGAGCCGAGGGCACACAGGGCACAAAATTAGCACCAGCCAATTCCTGGTAAAATATACATATATACGGTATATGTATATATAAGTGGTAAATGTGCTTCACTTTCAAACTAAAAGAACAACATTAATCAATGGCTGATAACATTTGAACATTCACTAACCATCCACCCTGTCTGTGGGGAGTTCAGTGTCTGCAATAACATTGGGACAGTTTCACTACTGTTATTACAGATTGCTTCGTGAATTAAGTAACATAACATTGGATTAACAGCATGCTGGCAGCCCCTGCTGGCTGCAGAGGGCCATTACACTAATCTGCTGAGCAGAACCTCTCATTTGTCCCTTACAGACAAAACACGTGAATTTTCCCATATGTGATCACAACGATCACATAGGTTTCACACAGGAATTTACATGGGCTTCACACTTAACACCACAAACATGATCCAATACCATGTTTACCATGTGCAAAATTACATGTATATATGGTCACATGTGAAATTCATGTGTTTATAAATATTAAATTGATATGGATAGATAAAAGATACGGAATGATTATGCATAACTAGTTATTGTCTATTTTTTATGGTTTAATGTTAAAAACCCAAAGTTTATTTTTCACTGTGAAATGAGACCAGACTCCTCATCCAGTCTGTTAAAGATTAAACATCTGTGACTATGTTTGGTATTCAAACAAAAAGCTATCACTGAAAGTTCTTTCAAAAAGAAACTGCGCTGGAGCTCGTTCTGAGGATGTCAAAATGAGACACTGATAGCAGGAACATCCACCATCTGACCAGTGGCTGCTGGGATGTTTTGAACCAACTCTTTAATAAGATCTTTATTTTTTACAACTGGTTGTGTAAAAACACTGATGAGACATGTTTTGTTTTATTGTCGTGTTTATTTCGTTTCACACATATGACAATATTTGATTTCTTAAAAAACAATCTTTTGGTATCGTCAGTGTGTTTGTGTGTCAGATTAAAATGTTTCAACATGAAAAGTAAATAATCATGTAAAATCAAATTAATTCAAATATCCTTGCAGATATCTGCCACCTCAAACGCAAACACCTGAAATCCCTCCTAGGACCCGCTAAGAGTGTGTGTGTGTGTGTGCGTGTGTGTGTGTGTGTGTGTGTGTGTGTGTGTGTGTGTGTGTGTGTGTGTGTGTGTGTGTGCGTGTGTGTGTGTGTGTGTGTGTGCGTGTGTGTGTGTGTGTTATATAGTCAGGGTCTTGGGGTTGACCACCCTGCCGATGAAGAGCAGCGCCCCCGATGTTTCGTCCCGGATCAAGTAGATGAAGGGGCGGTCCACTTGGTAGGACAGGTGGTTTGGCGTTGAGGAGGTGCCCGAGGGGTACTGGTTCCCCTCGGGCGCTGTCTCCATGACGACCTTGTGATTGACGCTGCCGAGCTTGGCAGGCTGAGCTGAGATCTTCTCCAAGTCCGTGTCTGCGAGCCATTCAGAGAGACCTACAGGGAGGGGAAGGAGGGAGGAGGGTAGGAACAGAAAAGGAACAGGAGGAAGGAGAAAGGCCATGAAAAGGATGAAGAGGACGGAGTAAAGATGAAGAAAAAAGGTAAAGGAGGAGGAAGATGATAATAGACATCAGTGACATCACATCACTGAACAAGTGTTTTACTGAATATAATCCAGTTTGCAGATGATATTTTACTTTATTTTGAAGCTTGATTGAAAATTAATCAGCAACTATTTCAATGATCAATTATTTCTATTCTATATATTTCTATGAAATTTAATTTAATTTCCCAGGTCTTTGAACAATAGAGTTATTGTACCATAATGTGTAACTTCATTTTATTTTTGCTAAAATGAATTTAATAAAATTGGTATTGATTGATTGGTATTGTTCAGGAACTAGTATTGAAGTCAAGCATTGGTACTGGTATTAAAACTTTTTATTCAATAACCAGCCTTAAGCTGATCCCAGGAGGGCTTCATACTCTCTGGTTAGTCGGGACAATGTTGTGATTTTCTGTTCTTTTCTAATGGATTTCTTGCAAGTAATAAAAATGTAAGAAATGAAATTGAGTGTGTGTATTTGTGCAATATTGGTACTTTATTTGCTTCCGTATTTGTTGAAAATCTTGGACTCACCCAGGTCGCTGAGCAGTGGCAGCAGGTCTGTGGAGTAGCTGAGCCTCAGGGAGGGCAGAGTGAGGGACACTTTGGCGGGAAGGAGCGTCATGGAGAGGTCCTGAACGAACTCGGCCGTCAGACTCTCCTCCAGCAGCGTCATGTTGGAGGTCACGTCATCGGGCAGGAAGATGAACATGCTGACGTCTTCCTGCATCTGGATCTGAGCAATCTGGAGGATGGGAAAACGTTCAGGAGGGAGCTCAGAAAGTACACGACTCAAGCTTCAAAAGCTGGTTCATTCTGGGTAATGAAATTTAAACCAGTAACTTGTTTGCACAGGACGTCACTTCACTGCATTCCTGTGGTGTTCAAACTCTCTTAATGCCTATTTTGTGTCGTTTACAGTTACTCAAATTGATCAAACTGAGAAACCAAGAGGAGCTTTTACAGAGTACGAGTATGAGTAGTAGAGTATTTTCACCACAGCCCTATCCGACTGGAAACTGAAGCTGTTATATGGACCTCTGCTTTGTGACTTTGCTGTTAGCTTGGATCACCAAAGTCACACAAGGACTCAAACAAACCAACCGTTGGAGACAGCCATTCACGAGAAATGCCCATTTTCTGCAAGGTAAAATGAGTGTTTATCTATGGAGTCTGGTGGCTTTGAAGAGACCCATAAAACAACTTCAGTTCCCCGTCCAAAGTCTTTCAAATTAGTTGAAAAATGGCTCTTCTTCATAACACTGTCTGAGCAAACAAGCTACTGATGTTGTAGTTTGAAGGTTACGTACTGATGACATTCAGAGTAGAAAACACTCACCGTGCAGCTCAAATCTGAGTCGGCACCCATCTTCACAGGGTAGTTATCCTGTTGCATCATGGAAATGCGGACGGGTGCCCCGCCCTCCACTTGGAAGTTCTCCATCGCTCCGCTCTGCCCGAACCGAGTCACCCACTTCCCTGTTTATGAACAAAAAACTGTCATTACTGATGTTCGTGCATCCTCAGCTGGATACTGAACTTGTAGTAAAAATGAGGAATTGTGGGAGAAAAGTCCAAGAAGCATCATACTGAACTAAATCAAGACACCAGCTAGCGAGCGTTTGAAATGTGACATACCTTTAAAGTAGGCGGCGCTCACGGTGTTCACTCCAGAGCCTCCTGCATTTCGTGGGAAGGCCGCGGCCAGTAACCTCTGCACCTTCCCTCCTGTCTGCTGAGCCACCCAGTCATTTACCTCCTTCACGTCTTTACTTCCTCCCTGCAGAACCTTGGGACGAACTCCATACTGCTGCTCCACCAGCGCGAAGAAGTCCTGCTTGAGACGAAGTCCTGAGAACAGAATTAATTGGCTTCTAGTTCTGACATTTACAAATCAACATTACAATCAAGACGAAATGTTGAATTATGACGCTTCCAGCTGCCCAACCACCCCCCACTCGAACTCACGTCGTGCCAGGTAGATGCGTGCCGCAGAGCTCAGGCCTTTCCCGGGCGCCCCGACCGAGGCCAGCAGGTCTTTCAGGGTGTTGTGGAGCTGCGGGTCCTGCAGGGTGTGGTATCTCAGAGCCCTGAACAGCTGCCTTTGAGCACGCTCAGACCCTCCTGGGTGACATGATGAGTGAGTAAGATTAAGACGTATTTTCATGAGCTTAGACTGTTCGAGTAATGTACGAAAGCCCTGAGAGGTGAGTAAGTAAGTCTCAACTGTTTTCTCTCCTCTGTTTGTGTGAAACATTTTTTGAACATGGACATTTGAAACAGGTGTGGGAAGAAAGTTTTTCCAGGTGAAAAATGTCGTTTGCCAGAATAATTTTCCTAAATTACTGTATTTCCTCTGTGAAACCATTTTTTGTTTTTGTTGTCAATCAGTTTTGTTTGTGGTTGTAATACTCATTTCAGCCACCAGAGGCTGAATTGCACCAGTAGCCTCTAAACACAGGGCACATAAGGTGAGGTGTTAACAACTTACATAACGTTTCTTTTGGCTATAAATATATTGTAATCGGCACTAATCTGCTGTTAGCGTTAGCTTTACTGCACTTACATTGTGTTTGGAGTGGATGGAAACTCACCTGGAAGAAAACTAAAAAAAAAAAAAGTCTAATTTAAAACATGGGTCTGTGATGCACTTCAGCCTCTTGTGCCACAGTTTTACCATCCACTGTTTAGATCTTGGTGCTTTTTAACTCTAGATTTGAACCGGATGAAGGATTTTAGTCATCGGACGTCTGGATCTTAAGTTATCAGAGAAACAAGCTCGGCTCGCAGGCCCTCCGGGACGTCCTTTGTCTGTCCAACAGCGTGGGAGAAGCAGTGATTGTTAAGGTGGAACTGCTTTATTCAGTGTGTTTAAGGTGGAACTGCTTTGTTCAGTGTGTTTAGTGGTTTTAATCAGCGGGTCTGTTTGTGTTGGAGAGGAGGAGACCTCTGTGGATCATTGGGCTCCCGGTAGAAACCTCCTGAACCATGAACACTGAAGGAATCCTAACCGGGGGAAGCTGACTGCAATGACGCCAATGGTGGTGAAGACAACAACTCCCATGATCCCACGCTGCTTCACCAACTCATCTAACTTCATATTTTCTTATTGTTTGGACGTGAGAGACACCCTAGAGGCAGAAATCACATACTGTTCTGTAAGTTTTAAATACGGGAGAGACAACGATTTAGATCAAACTTAGAAAATTGATTACCAGAATAGTTTTTTCTCACTTGCCTCTCAGGGCTTCCGTAGTAATTGTAAACTTGGTGTCTGTTTTCGTACTGTCTCACCTTAAACTGAGACTGAACTGAGGAAAAATAAGCATGTATGGAAAAACACATTGACCACCTGATGATGGTGTTTTTGGGGAGCAGCAAACAAAACTGAAATAAATTTCAACCAGTTTGGCTGACGGACCCGTACACACCATGGCAGTCTTTTAAAACCAAAGCATCAGTTTGGATTTAGTTTGTAGTGTGTTTGTGTCGTCACCCATGGAGAGCTGCGTCAGCGCCGCGGACACACTGATGGGGGCCAGGAACACGTTGGTCCCGGTTTCACGGCTCGCCAGGGCGCGGAACAGGTTGTAGCCGAAGTCCGAAGTGGCGGCGCCCATCTTAGTCGTCGGTGTGGTGAAGAGCTCCACATGTTCCTCCTCCCCGCCCGTCTCCTCGCCTCCTGTCTCCGACTGGACAACAGTAAAGACAACAATCTAAAGATCTGATAGAGATATCAAACATCCTACCTGGAAAAAAAGCTGATGTGGATTACCTGAGCCTGACAGAAGCTCAGGGCGACTCCAAACACCAGCAGGAAAGTTGTTCGCTTCATCCTGGAAGAAAAACAAAAGTTTTTATACATACACTGTAAAACACAAGTTTATTATCACTCATACGAAAACGCAACATTTATGTTAGCTACCCATTAGCTAGTCTGCTCATGCAGCTGACGTTGGCTGACTCGAGTTGCCAGGAGCCACACCCGACGGTGAGAGAAAAGAGGTGAAATTATCCAAAACAGTTTAGAAAATCCATCCTTTGTTTGTGGAACTCAGAGACAATGATGATATTCAGAACCACATGATTTCAAAGCATCTTTCTGGATAATTGCACAAGAATGCCACAAAATTATACAACTGGTTCAAACTTCACCGCAGAATACAAACTGATGACGCTGCGAGGACCACAAGAAAGACCAGATCCTCCAAACAGTCGGAGCAGAAAGCGTTTCTCTCAAGAACAGCCTCCCTATTGTGGAGCTCCACCTCTGGAACAAACAGGAGCTCAAGTTAACATTTCCATCAGCATTTTACTGCAGCTGCACGCGTGCGTGCGCGCGCGCGCACACACACACACACACACACACACACACACAATGTCTCTTTTGTTCTTCTGCACACATCTGGACCTGGTTGTCATGGTTTCATAAAGTTTTCTGAACCTCAGACCACACACACACACACACACACACACACACACACTGTGCCTGATGGGAAATCCAGACGGTGTCGTCCAAAAAGTTGCCGTGGCTGCAGTTTCCTAACTTTCACTGACCTTTTCCTCTGTTCCTCCACAGACTCACAACAAATGTAAATTCATGAAGCAGCAGCTGTATATTTGAATATCGGTGTGCACATTTTCTGACTTCAGTGTGTCCGGATCACACAAAATTTACTTTTTGTGTCGTTTCCTTTAATGTCAGACTGTTCAAAATCAAATATAGAGGCTGTTAAACAATTTGACACATTAAACTATAAATCTGACTACTAACTACAGCCAGACCAGGACACCTGAATGCACCAGTCAGGATCCACAAGGATCTCTAAATATTCAGTGTATTTCGATAGTTTACTGTCTGAACAGGCCTGATGGAGACCTACAGAGTCCTGCAGAGTCCTGCAGCAGACTGAAGATGAGCCGCTGACACAGCAAACATGCTTCCTGCAGGAACTTGTCTCTGATACTCACAGGAATGTTTTCTCATCAGCTTTCTGATATCACATCAGAAAGTCACGAATCCCAAATTATTCCACAGAACTGCAGAGAAAAACCAAAGTCATTAATAACCTCTGTGAGCTCTGTTCTGCACAATATAACTGACAAAACTTATATATTCAACAACCTTCAAAGCTTCTACACTGACTAGAATTCATTAGTTCCATTAATTTCAGACACAGCAGAATCTAATGATTAAACTTTGACCCTGCTTCTGTCCCAGAACTATTATATAAACTGTTGGATGGAAAAGGTCCAGCTGTGATTGTGTTTCTTGGCACAGCGACGCAGAGCTCAGATGGAAAAGCTGAACTGAACTGCAGAAAGTTCAGAAGTCCAAGTTTGTGACTGTTAACAGAATTATTAAACTGTCTTTAAATCAGAAAGTACGGTAGCACTGAGAGTGTCTTTATGAATGCCAACAGACTGAATCGATGTAAGACAAAGAACTGAATCCTCTGCAGGTTCATCAAACTATTTAAGTCAAAGTGAACCGAACAGCAGCATTAACCCCGAATTTATTTCCGTTTATTGAACAGAAACAATCAGAAAGAAAAAGTCAAACTTTGTGCGTAAAAGGGCAACAAAGCGCAGAGAAGCGCACTCACCTCTCCTCTGCTCCCGGACGGTCCACGTCTCTCAGACTCTCTCTCGCTGCAGATGAGTCGAGTCTTTGCCCCTTTGACGCCTCCTGGACCTGCGCCGGGCGGAGCGCGTCCCCGCTGCCGCCAATAGAGCGCCGGGAGCGCGCAAGACAGACAGAAACTGCTGGATTAAAAACGTTGCAGCCGAAGATGGTTTGAGATCTATGGAAGCGCGTTTCAGCCAATATGAGGGGAAACAGATTCTGTAAGTTATTATAATGAGGAACTTTCTCTTAAAATAATGACTGAGTCAGTATTTTCTGATTCCGGCAGGATAATACAGCACCCACTGACAATGTACTGCTTCAACTGACCCTTTGATTTGTTGTTGGTTCATTTCTGAAAATCAGAAGACATTTTGGGAAATGTGTGATTTAAAGAAAAATCTCATCCAAACAAAGTTAAAAAAACTCAAATACATGTTTTGTGTCAACATTTTATTTTCAGTGGCTGAACACCAAATTAAATCAGCATCAACATCAGCAAAGAAAAAAAACTTTTAACATCATAATGCACAACTTGTCTTGGTATGAAACAGTCTTTAAATGCATCACCAGGCCTAATAAATCTATTATAAACAGTCACTGAACACAAACCTGACAAGCAGTGTCTGAAATAGGCCCATATTCAAAGGCTCTTCTGATTTTTGTCCACATCAGTACCCTTATTTCTTCTCTCAGGTTAAATGTCGAGGTCAGAGCAAATCAGAGGCAGAATACGGCTGGAAAAAAGTTTGATTGGTCAGTGCTAAGAAAACAGCACTCAGATTGTTTGTGTTAAGAATGATTAAAAAAGATTTAGAGTTAGTTGAGGGACTACTGGCTCTTTTTAGGGTACTGGTCCCCTTTTTCGTCCAATTCAGGCACTGCTGACAAGCTTGATAAAATTGATCACTACATACAAACATTAATCTGCTGGAGACTTTAGGATTTCAAATTGTTGACTCTTTCATATAAAACTCAATACTGATCACTATAATTGCAGTGTATTCGTATTTTTGAACTACAATGCCTTTCGAGGAACACAAGACCAAGGTTTTCATTCTTTGCTGCACATCTGAATCTACTTTAAAGGAAAAGTTTGACAATCTGGGAAATTATTCACTTTCTTGCAGAGTTAGAAATGAACATCGGATACCGCTCTCATGTCTTTTCTCCACTACTGCATTGGTTGCAGACATGAGAGTGGTATCATCTAACTGCAACAAAGCCAACAGGCGTATCTCCAAACATGTGGAACTATTCCTTTGACAAGTAAGATCTGAAGCAGGTACAGAGTCGCAGGTTTTATTTCTTCCTGCCGTTACTGATCTCCAGTCCATTTACTTGCTGCTCCCTCTCACTCGCAGGGGCACTACATGACTGAACACTACTGCCCCCTGCTGGCTCTGTCTCGCTGCACGACCTGTTGTTGTGTTTGCTATTCTCCGTCGCAGGCTGGTCGCTCATGGTGCTGTTGCCGTAGGGATCATCATTGAGCATGGGGTCGTTGTCTGGGGCGGGGTTTGTGACGATGCCCATGAAGAGGGGGGCCAGAGAGGCGTCATCAACGAGGGCGAAGAGGAAGGGAGAGTTGACGGAAAAGAGGGAGATGGAGCGCATGGAGGTTACAACAGTGGTGGCGGACGCCTCCACGCCTTCCTCGCTGAGTTCCACCGTGCTGGCGTGGCGGACACCAGTCACCTTCAGAGGGTGGTCGGAAATCCCAGAAAGATCAGGACCCAAAAAAAGGGAACCGAGGCCTGAAAAATAGGGCAGAGTTACAGACTGAAGGGCCAGATATACTCTTAATTCACACACCCCCTTGTAGCTAAACAGACATGGAAAGTATAATTTGCACAAATGAGGAAGAAAAAATGCTGTTGAGAGTTTAATGTGTTTTATGTGAATTGGAATGTTGTGTGTTTGTAATTGATATCACCACCACGGTATCTGCGTTGTTTCTTCTAGGCATCCTTTCTCTCTTAGTGAAGCTAATACTCTCACCCATGCTGGTCAGCGCTTCCTGGAGCTCCTGGCGGTACTGTAGCTTCACCTTGGGTAAGTTGACCTGCATTGTTTTCTCCTGAGGTAGACGTCTGTAAAGGTCGGAGATGTTCAGTTTTGGAAGTACTGATGACACGTTCCCTCTGCCCGGCAGGGGCATGACAATTAAGAAGCTGGTGTTTCCCTTGAAGGGAAAACTGGCAACCTGGAAGAGAGAAAAAGACTTTTATATGAACTAACTCTCAATAAATCACTATGGGAACACATGGTGGTTAACCTCCTTAGAACGACCCTAACCCAACCACACCTTTATACCATTAACATTAGGTGGATTTTAAAAGAGAAAAGGAAGAAAGTGAAATAATTAAATGAAAACACTTGCTTATTATTGACTGTTTGGTCAAAGTTGTATAACAGGACACCTTAAACATAGTTTAGATTTAACCACGAGTGGCAGCAGGGTAACCATGTCCTCCAGCTCGTTCTGGGGGATCCCAAGATTGGAACTAAAGTCAGGTGTCATGGTCTTGATGTAGCCTTAACTCTGCTATGTTATCTGACAAGTATCACTTGTCAATTGTCAAAAATATCAAAGCAAATCTAAATCAGTCCTCAACAAAATGACTGCGAAAGACACTGCAGAGTATATTGAGTCATTACTCCAAGGTAAATGGCCGAAAATCCAGACTGTCCTGATTTCACTTTGGCATATCACCCTTTCAAAGACAAAGAGATCCAGAATACCCACATTCTTGTTTTTGCACTGTTAGGATAAAACCCAAACAATATCATGCATTGGTACGTAAAAGCCTTGTGAGCAATATTGGCTCCACTTGTCATGATGGACAGTATCAGCACCATCCCTGCATGCCAACGTCGGCGTTACCTGTGCTTCCAGTTCTGGATCATCCAGCAGGCGGAGAGGGTACTGGGCAGATTTCATCATGTTCACAGACACAGAGTTCTGGTTGTCTAGGTAAAAAATTCCCTTAGAAGTCCCTAGGGGGTCAAATCGTGTCTGCCATTCCCCTGAAAAACACAGAGGGGAGCAAGAAGAATCATGGCTACAACTGTTATTGTCATTTCACAGAGTTTTCATACATAGAAATGAAATTTGTCCTCTGACTTTGACCTGTCCTATACACTAGGAGAATTAGGCACCCAGAGAGCCACTTGGGGTTCAGTGTCTTGCTCAAGGCCACTTAAACACATGGACAAAGGGTCAAACCGCGAACCCTGCAGTTAGCGGATCTGACTTGTTTTATTCACTTATTGCAATTCTTCACTATGACTACAAATCACCATACTGAGTGGTCTTTGGTGGTATGGTTCACCTTTGAAGTACACAGCGTTCATGAGCATAAGCACCACGTCATGTGGAATACTTTCCAGGAAGTTGGGGATGTGACCATTGGTGGCGTTTTCCACCCATTGGTTGACATCCTCCACAGAGACCAGAGGGACG